CTTTGTGTAACAGCTCTCACTGCCCTGGAACTTATTTTGTAGAGCAGGCTGGCCTCAACCTCACAGAGCTCTGCCTGTCTTCTTCAGGGACTAAAAGCATGTGCCTTCACCACCCAGCAACCATAAAATTCTTAAAGGAATCTGAACTCTTTTCTCCAAGGACAAGAACGCCTGCTTTCCATACTCATCTCCAGGTCTCACCTTGGTCATGCTTAAATCCGACCTGACAAAGGCATTTTAGAAAAGAACATGCATCCCTAAGCAAGGTGCTGCCCACAGCCTGCTCTAGCTCAGCAGGCAGCTGAGGGAGACCCTTGGGTACTTGAGTTCGGCTGCTTTTCATTGTTGACTCATGGAAGAAGGGAGGTAAAAGAACAAAAAGATGAAGTAATCTCAAAAGCCTAACCCTAGAGTTGGGATGTGTTCACTTACTCTCTAAGCACTTACTAAGTACCTGCTGTTTGCCAGGCTCCAACAAAACCAGCTTGGAAAAGGTATGTCTGGGTTGGGCCTCAGATCATTCAGTCTTAGCTCAGATTTCTGTTGCCCAGCTCTACACTAATTGCTTAGGTCTCAGAGTGCCCTCTGCTGCCCAGAGCTGAGAATACAGTTGCATGGAAATAGTACCTCCCTAGATGTGGTAGGTGCCATTGAGGTAGGGGACATTGAGATGCCTGGAAGCAGTAGATGGTCTCTTTCAAAGACACCTGGGCCCCTTTCTGGGACCAGAGTTGCGTGTCTCAGGAATGACAAAGAATATAAGCATGACTATCATGATGGCTCCTCCAGTAAGGGCACTTGCTGCCAACCCTAAGAACCTGAGTTTGAGCCCTAGGACCCACAGGGTAGGAGAGAACAGATACCCAGATACCCACAAGTTGCCTTCTGGCTGCCACACACTCACCATAGCACATATGCACCCCCTCACGCATATAAAATACACACTAAACAAGTAATTTTTTAAAGTTTGTTTTGTTTTTTAGACAGGATGCAGTCCTGACTGTCGTGAAACTACGTAGAACAGGCTAGCCTCAGACCCCCTGAGATCATCCTGCCTCTCTGAGTACTGGGATTAAAAGAAAGTATCAACACACCCCACTTCCAAGGACTTCTTTTTAAATTATGTGCTTATGGAGGCATGGGTATGAGAGTGTCAGTGCCTGCAGAGTCCAGAAGAGAGCATCAGACCCCCGGAGCTAGAATTACAGGCAATTATGAACCATCTGCCATGGGTGCTGGGAACCAAACTCAGGGTGTTCCTAACCTCTGATCCATCTCTCCAGGTCCTAGTTTTATTTTTAAGAACAAAGCCTGGAGCTATAGCTCAGTGGCCCAATACTCCCTTGTGGGCAAGGCCCCAGATTCAAAGCCGGGTATTGCTCAAAGAAGGGGTAGAGCATTTGCACTTCCTGTTGTGACCTCCCTTTTAGACAAGGTATGGGATCCAGGACTCCCTGACCCCCCAAGCCTCTGAAAGCCTCACAGGAGGTCTGAGGTAACTCCCCAACTGCCATGACTGTGCTCATAGTGACCCCCTTCTCAGATGCCGGTAGCAATGTAAAGTGGCACCCAAATTAGAAAGCAAAGAATAAGAAGCAAAGTGTAATGTGACCAACAGCCCCACTGCAGCTGGCCTCCCTCAGAAACAAAGATGCCACACCTGGATGCACAGGAATGCTGAGAAGCCGCACTCGCAACAGACCAGGTGCATACCAAATGCCCGCCATCTGGCCAGTAGCATGCAACACACTCGAGTGAAACTGGGTGCAGTAGAGCCAGGCATGGTGATGCAACACTTGGAGGGCTAACGCCAGAGTATTGCCATGAGTCCCTGGCCAGCATGCATAAGCCATCTTGAAAACATGAACATTTCCCAGCAGCTGCAGCAGAAGGGTGCGGGGTGGAGGCCAGTCTTGAGCCTGGGGTGTGGTCAGCTGGTACTCAGGAGCTTCCACGTCTTGTAGATGCTTCAGTAGAAGCAATGGGCCCAGGGTAGAGACCAGGTTTGAGTCTGGTTTAGGTTCACAAGCACAAAAGTTTCATGTCGTTCTGTGGCTTTGGCAGAACCTGCAGATCCAGAGTGTGAAAATTCTTCATGGTGAAGCCGTACATCCAAGCAGAAGGCCTACATTGACACTGGAGGAAAGCCTAAGACAGTCTTCAGCCTGAAGCACCATTCCCTGCCGGACCATATGAGGGGGAACAGGCAGCATCAACGAACATGATTTGGAGGTCAGCAAAGTTTCTCAAATGAGCAAGCCTTGGAGAGCCAGAGCCCCAAGGACTACACGTCCTAGGGACCTCGTGCTGTTATTGAACATGGCTCTAACTGTTGCCTCCATGGTCACCAAGTGCCTCATACTCTAGAGTTGTATGAAAACTTTCAGGGCATTTCTAGTCCCTCACTGGGCAGTGGTACTGGTACTTATAGTAATTGTGACTGACTTTTTCCAAGCATTGCTGCTGGAGTAGATTAACGATTCCACCACCACCCTTAGGAAGAATTTAGACGTGTAGATTGCCAGCAAAGCTAGGTTAAGATCTTGTTAATGGTTGGAGGTAGAAATTCTTGGAGAACAATTTAAAGTTTAAAACAGTAGCAGCCTGGTTATTGCTGGCTGATGTACCTTTCTTGCTAGGATAGGTTGGTGATCAAAGACAGTGATTAATTCCTTGTACCTATTTCTGCCCTCAGTTTCCTAATATGATTTAATAAAAAACTTTTGAGTGGGTGTGCACCGTGAGGAATTAGAGATGACTGGTTTTCATGTATAAAAGTTCAGATTTGTGATTCTTCTAAGATTTTTTTATATTTCATTGAGATAATTACCTTTAAATAGTATAATGATTGATCCTTTTCTTATAACTGCTAAATGCAACCTGCCAGTAAAAGAACTGGCTGAGAAAAGAACTGTTTGCTTATTATACTTTGTTAATCTACAGCAAGTTGCTTGGTCATGTATGCATGTAGGATTCTTGGGAATAATTTATTTTTTTATCATGCAAGGGATACAGGAAACATGTTTTTTACTCCTATTCATTGTAATCATTCACTTAAAAATTGAATGTAACTACATTGTAATTCTTGCATTGCTTGAAAGATTTTGCTGGGTATATAAGCTCTAAGAACAAAATAAAGACAGGGGAACATCAGGATAGGAGAAGAACAGAGCAGAGAAAGACCAGAGTAGAACAAACAACAGAAAGAATAAAATGAAGAACTAAGCTTTGCCCTCAGAAAAGCCCTCGTGCGTCTGTCTGTCCAGTAGTTTATCTACTTTGCATCTCTTCAATTGCTCTGACCTGCTAAAGGCTTGCCATTCACTAGCACCCTAGGTGAGATCCTGACAAGGTGGAAGTGTGTGTGTGTGTGTGTGTGTGTGTTCCCTTTTTCGCCAGTCCTAGAGAATTAAGTTTTACTCCCTCATAGAAAAGTCAAATAGTGATTAGTCCACTGACTCCAAGGCTGTTCCCTTCAATTCCTCAGCTGCTGAGGGCTGGTCCCTACAGCAGCAAGTCCCAAAGGAAGTGCCACCTCCACTCTATGACTTAGTCCTCCACTAAACACTACAAACACCACTGGGACCTGAATTTAAGTAATACAAAACACAAAAGAAAAAATGCAACCAAAAAGCCTAATATCAGGTCTTCAGTTTCAGTGAAAAACCAAGACAAACAACTCCACAAACCACTAATCCTACATTAGGTTCCCAATGAAAACTAGGAAGAGTTAGAGAATTTAAAAGAATGGTTATATGTATGTCCAAACAACTAAAGACATGAATATGCTCTCAGAAAACAAAACACAAATGAAATAAGGATGTCAACCCAAGACATGAAAACACAAGTTCTGTGGGCTTTTCGAGAATCTCTTGCATTCTGGTGCTTACATGGTACAAGATAACAGTGTGTGCTCCCCAGGTGCTTGCCAGGGGCCAGGAGGGTGTTCATGAAGCCATTGCTCGTTAGGCAACACCTCTGCTGCCACCTTATAGCGGAGTTAGAACACAGGGCCTCCGGCATACTGGGTCACACACACTTCTATTACCACATTTGGTTTTGTCAGGATCTCTAACCCTGACTAGCCTAGAACTAGTGCTGCCATCATTCTGCCTCTGCTTTTGAGTACTGCCACCATGCCTGGCCAGCTGTTAGAACCTGGCCTGCTCTACACAGCCCAGTGGTTACCTCCATTCAATAGTGGCAATTTTAAGAGATGGAAAGTCCCAGGAGTAGTTCACAGCAACTTCAGTAGGCCAGTACAACATGGTTTTATCAGGCTACTCTAACAGGATTCAACCATTAAAAATGTCACAACCCAAAATCTCTCAGATGATAGCAGTCAATCTAGTTTCTTTTTTTTTTTTTTTTTTTTTTTTTTTTTTGGTTTTACGAGACAGGGTTTCTCTGTTTTGGAGGCTGTCGGTCCAGCCTGGCCTCGAACTCACAGAGATCCGCCTACCTCTGCCTCCCGAGTGCTGGGATTAAAGGCGTGCGCCACCACCGCCCGGCTAGTTTCATTTTTGTTGTTGATTTTGTTTTGTTTTTTCAGACAGGGTTTCTTTGTGTAGCCTTGGCCATCCTAGAGCTAGCTCTGTAGACCAGGCTGGGTCTCAAACTCACAGAGATCCGCCTGCCTCTGCCTCCCGAGTGCTGGGATTAAAGGTGTGCGCCACCACCTGGCAGTTTCCATTTTTATATACTCTCCCTCAGGACCCTACTCAAAACGTATTCACCATCACAGTGGGTAGAATCACTCGCCAGGCAAGCCTTGTGACCTGAACTTGAGTCCCAAAACTACATCAAAATGGAGGGAGAATACCAACTCCAAAGTTGTTTTCTGTCCTCTGCCCATGCGTCACACTCTTCATACACAGTAATACAACTAGCAAAAAAAAAAAAAAAAAACCTTAAAAACCCTCTTTACCTCCATGAGAAACCTAGCCTCTCAATTCAGACAGCTTCACTTAGTGATTACCAAAGAATGAAACACACAGGCATCACGTAAACTGGCCATTTATTAGCATGGGCCTTTGGACACCACAGCTTCCAGCATGCCGAGAGGAGGGAGCTGGCAAGCAGCAAGGTCTCACTTCTTCCACTCATTCTTGTCGTAGTCCCACTTGGCAGAGAAGCCCTGAATGGGGTTGGCCTTCATGTCCAGCATCCGCTTGGTCTGCATGGCCACCCAGTCACGATCAAAGGTATGAGGGATGGGGCCATACACTGTGGAGCAAAATAACTATGTGAGGCAAGGTGTCCTGCTGGGATGACACAGCCCAACCAAGCCACCCACTCTAATTCAGGGCACTGATAATTCCTATCTCAGAACCATCCCTTGCTTGTGAAAGGTCAACAAGGAAGTCACTAGGTTATTTAGCTAGGCATCTTCCTTCCTGTTTTCATTGGCAGACTCTGCAGGCTGGCCCAGCACACAGCCAGGGGGTACACTCAGAGGACTGCCATCTGTTACTAATCTGCAGCCACACTTACTAGGGGTGGCCCTGCTCAGAATGCAGCATGACCTGACCCAGAGAGAATGCATGTCAGAGAGCAGGCAAGTCCAACAACGACCAAACAACATGGAAAAGGCCTAACACCCCAGACCCCAGATGCTCAGGTACAGCCAGCCATGAGCAAATGGGCCCTCCTCACTCACACTACTCAATCCTCAGTGCTACGGAACATGGTATGCTGTACAAAGAAAATCTATCTTGCCCTGCCACAAGGATGGCTGGCCATTCAAAAGGCAAGCTCTAGCTTATACCTGTTCCCATGATTACAGTTTCTCCATCCATCCTGGGCCTGGAGACCATGTGAGGCCCTCAAAGCACCAAGAGCTACAGCTGTCCTGGGCCACACCTTCTCCCTCTCCATTTACCATAGCTTTTCTCCCAAATGAGAACCAGCGCAGTGAAGCCGATGAAGAACATGGCCAGGCCCACGACTGTCTTCCACTCATTGGTGCTCCTGTTCATCTCAGCAAAGCTCTCATTAAACTGGATGCGGTACACTGAACAGAAACATGTGCAGAGTAAAGAACTTTCCCAAAACAACCCATCCCAGGAACAGCACAGGCTAGGCCAGGACACACAGTGTGCACAAATCTGCCCTCACACACCAGCACACACAGGAGGGAGAAAATGCAGAGCTGACTGCATGCAGAGACCTCTGGACAGGAGGTCAGCTTGGCTCTTCCGTGCTGCCTTCACACCACGAAGTGAGCATTAACGCACCAAGCATGCGTACAAGAAGCTGTAATCTCCATGCCCTGCTCTTCACTAAGAGTAATCCAGCAGGATCAATAAGGATACCCAGAAACTCAGCAGGGAAATCTGGTATAGCACAAGCAATTACACACACACACCTATACATGTTACTGAGTTTCCATGCACATCCTGATACTCACATTGGACTTTCTCATCCCTGGACAAGCTGCTCCAGTCTGCCTTCTCCTTCTCCTTCAAGGCCTTCTGGCTGGCAGACAGCAGCTTGACATGGGCCACATCAGGCAAGGGGTAGTCACGCCGATCCATATACATAGGGAGAGCATAGTCTTCACTCTTCACAACACTCCCTAAAACACATTGGATACATCTGAAAACCCTTGTGGGTAGAAGTCCAGGCCAGGCAGAAGGGTGATGGCAGGTCAACAGTTAAATGGAAGCACTTGACCTAACCAAACCTGAGGGCTTACAGTCACCACATGTGGAACCAGGCTGAAGGTTATTTGCTAGACAGGCAATAGAACTAAATGAAGTCCCAACTGCAGGGTTTCATATTCAGAACATGAAACTCAAAAAGAATGTGGCTGCTGCAGGGAACAGTGATAGACCACTGTGACTCCCAGAGGTCAACTCTGAAACTGTTGACCTCATACAAAAGGTATCCATCATGGAGCCACCTTACCAAGTACCTACTGTTCACTAAGGCTGGCTCTATTCATATGGGATTGCCAGGAAACAACTGAGCATTCCTACCTACCTCCCAAGGGCTCACAATCTGTAAGTGAGAAAGAAACAAGCAAGACATAACACGTGGGGTCACATGCTAGGAATGCACACATGGCAGGAAACAGATCCAAGTGTCAAGAGGTGGCCCTAGAAACTCCAAGGAAAGAATGATGTGCTCAGTAAAGAGTCGGTCAGCTCAGTTCTGCTTTCCTTCGAAGGTATCCTCCCTTAACACTCAAGAGCAGGCAAGTCAGTCCAGACTGAGCAGTGGAAGGAGCCAGAGCTGAGTGGAGGCTCTTGCTGCTCTGCTGCATAACGTGAGCATGCACCTGTGCAACACACAGGCCACCCCAGGACAGAGCTCGGGCCACAGGAAACCAATCTGGATTGCACCCCAGGTTTCCTGCTGCTAAAAGCTCTAACTCTGCCCCACCTGTCTGTAGGACACAACCTTGCAGGAATGCTTTACCCCATAAGCTCAGCCCCATGTCTAAATCTCCCAAGTCATGTTGGCAAACAACACTAAGTCTTGAACAAGGCTGTGATCCTTCCAGGTGTTTACTTGGTTCACAAATGACCAATGAGTCTCTCTGTTCTTCTGTATAACCTCATCCCAGCAGCATTTGAACCAAAACAGACAGAATTACTTTCCCACTTTAACTCTTAGCATTCCATAAAGCTGGGCATGATAGCACATGCCTATAATCAAGCACTTGGCAGGCTGAGGCAGGAGGATCTCAAGTTTGAGACCTGACTCAACTACATAGGGAAACACTGTCCTAAAACATAGGGGGAAATGATCAGAAAAAAAAATGGTGGCTACTGAACATTCTTATCAAGTTCAATACACACCCCACCCAACCCCTATTTTTCCAGGCATAAAACACTTGGATTACTGGTTATCAAAGTAGATGTAAGTTAGGATGAGAATGTTCTAGAATAAATCAACCATGGTGATAATAGCACATACTAACAACTATACTAAAAACATAAGAAGCATACAATGTAAGTGAATGGATGCAATGTGTGAATTACAGCTCAGCTATTAGACTGCAATAAACCCTCATGGTCTCAGAACACACTAGCCATAAAATGACATATTCTAGACCAAGAGTGGTTAATTTATTTTCTAAACTGGGTGTTGGCAGTGGACGCCTTTAATCCCAGCGCTCGGGAGGCAGAGGCAGGCGGATCTCTGTGAGTTCAAGGCCTTCCTAAACTACAAGCCTGGTCTACAAGAGCTAGTTTCAGGACAGCCTCCAAAGCAATACAGAGAAACCCTGTCTCAAAAAACCAAAAAAGAGCCAGGCGTTGGTGGCGCACGCCTTTAATCCCAGCACTTGGGAGGCAGAGGCAGGCGGATCTCTGTGAGTTCAAGACCAGCCTGGTCTACAAAGTGAGTTCCAGGACAGCCTCCAAAGCCACAGAGAAACCCTGTCTTGAAAAAAAGAAAAACCAAAAAAGAAAAAAATTTATTTTATAAGTTCACTTCAAAGCCTTCTTTTGTCCTTGGGATCAGAGGAAAGTAAAGGCTCACAAGCCAAACACTCCTCTTTTAAAAGGGACAGAGGGTCCAGAGCCCACAGCCTACTTCCTCCGAGCTGCAGCCACTTGTACAGGACCAGGTCCCACCATGCCCAAGTGTTTCAAGTATGACAAAGAGGTGTACTTTGCTGAGTGAATGACCTCAGCCTTAGTTTCAAGCAGACCCAAGTTGTAGAAACCCTCCCTACATGTGTAGGCACATGCCAGGCCTTACCCTTGGCATCAGGGGTTCTCAGTAGCCCTTCATGCCCTTAATAAACCTGAATCTTCAGTGAGAAATCAAAAAAATAAGACTTTGCATTCAATAAGGTCACTTCTGTTCTCAACCACAATGAGTTTTGCTCAGCTTATCAGATCTGTTACGTTACACTATGAATACCTCAACTGACAACAGTGTCCCAGTAGAGTTTCACAGTACCCTAATACTATAAGCACATATGTTATCTATGGAGGACTCCTATGACTCACTGGAGACCCCAGAGATTGCAGTTCTTCATCTTCTGGCCAGACTACTCAAAAAAATGGCAGCCAAGCCAAACTGGAAATTGGTTCTGTCACTCATGTCTGTCCTTGGAGATGGAGCATGTCTTCCTACATGGGCTAATAAAGGAGGGGTTTTCCTTTCCCAAACACCCCTGGGGAGTGACGGACAGAGCACTATCGCTACTGCAGGATGGCTTTGCTGACACACCAGCATTATAAGCAGCTGCAGGAAGAATGCACGCTGGGGTTTGAGCCTCCAGATGCAGAAACTTTGCTCTCTAATCTTCTCATCTATAACCCAAGCCTCACACTTCACACTGCTGGCCCTGCGGCAGAAAACCCCTCTTCTAGAAGTCTTTCCCAGGCGCCAGCCTGGCTCAGCAGTCTGCCTCTGGGACTATCACTGTCTAACCCTGCCTTCGTCTTACCAGCCCATTCCATACTGCGAGCTCCCTGAGGAAGGGCCACCTCCACAGTACCATGCTCTCGGTACCTCACACTGGTACAAAGAACATGTCTCATAAACACATGCTAAAATGGTGCTAAGCAGCAAAATGACATTAAGTTAGCCTATTTGAAAGTCTTTGGCTGGGCGTTGGTGGGGCACATCTTTAATCCCAGCACTCAGGATGCAGAGGCAGGCGGATCTCTATGAGTTCGAGGCCAGCCTAGTCTACAGAGCAAGTTCCAGGACAGCCTCCAAAACAATACAGAGAAACCCTGTCTCGAAACCCCAACCCCCCCAAAAAAAGAAAGTCTTTGGCAGTCGGGAGTCAGAGGCAGGCAAATCTCTTGAGTTTATGACAGCCTAGTCTACACAGAGAAATCCTGTCTTGGGGGGAAAAAAAAAGACAGAGAGGAAAGAAAAAAAAAAGAAATTAAAAGTCTCACTTCACAGCCGGGCGGTGGCGGCGCAGGCCTTTAATCCCAGCACTTGGGAGGCAGAGGCAGGCGGATTTCTGTGAGTTCGAGGCCAGGCTGGACCGATAGCCTCCAAAACAATACGGAGAAACCCTGTCTCGTAAAAACCAAAAAAAAAAAAAAAAAGTCTCATTTCACTTACCATGTGCTCGAACACACACAGAGGTGGAAATGGCTCTCCTGCCAATGAGGCTAAGCGCCCTGGTAGCCAACATTCTGAAAGACAAGACCGTACACTTCTAACAATGAGAGATCAGCTTTTAGTGTGTCTTTTTGCCATAGAGAATTCAGGAGGTATATGCAACTCATTCCTCCATCATTAGATGATTTTTTGTTGCTATGATTTCATCAGATTTTAAGGCACAGGCTGGCCTGTAGCTTGCACTCTACCTTCCTCTACCTCATAAGAGCTGGCATTACAGGCCAGCAGCCTGCGCTCAGGATCCGTTTCTATAACTGATGCCAATGCGTAAAGTAGCGCAGGATGAGGCTGTTTTTCTTAGTATGCATTTACAGAGCGCCCTGATATCAAACCAGGGGCTGTAATATACACAACTTTGGCCAATTAATAAAAAACTCGACTTCCTAAAAAAAAAAATTAGAAAGGCAAATGACTAAAATGTCCGCAGAGCACGATGCAGTCACGAGCTGTTCCTGCGCCTGGGTTTTATTTAAAAACGACTTGAACAGAGACTACGAAGGGCAAGCGGAGGAGGCCTTTCAAGCCCTGGCCCGCTTCCCGTCCCTGCGGCCCACGGGCGACCTGGATGACCCTGTCACCCGCCCCAGCGACCCGAGCTCCGCGCCTCACTTCAGCACAACCCCGCGGAGATACGCTCCCCGGGAACCGACTTGCGAGAAAACGCCCGGGGCGGCAGGAACCGTAGCGTGACGTCAGGGCTCAGCTCGCAGCGCCTCGAGCCCGGCGGATCGGGAGCCCCAGGTACGGGCCAGGCCGGGGACCAACAGCCAGTGGGGACCTAGGACAACAGACCCGCCCGGGAAGCGGGCGCGCCAAGGTCACGGAGCGGCTCAAATCCCGGGCCTGCAGGCGCCTCAACGTCACCGCACCCTCCCGGGCGCTCCAGCTCCTCGGGCCCCCGCCACGCTGCCCTCACCCGCTGTCAAAGGCCGCCACCCGCTGTCACCTGCCACTGCTGCCCTAGCGACCGCCGCGACCGCCCTCTATCCCGGCTGCTCGCGACCGGAAGAGTAGGACCAGCACCGGAAGAACAAGATGGTGCCGCGGAGCACCGCGGGATCGAGGAAGCCCCGCCCACACTCGTCGTACCGAGGTCGCGGCGCCGCAACTGTCGCAAAAGGCCGGGCGGGCCACGCTGCTTTCCGGCAGGCACTGGCCACGACGCTTTCCGGCGGGCGGGGCGGGGCAGAGCGGGGCGGGGCGGGAGGTTGCTATTAGAGGAGTGAGTTGCCTCAGAGTGTGGTGGGGGTCGTGTCTTGTACAGTGGGGGGTCTCCGTTGCTACGTGACCAGCTAGACTCAGCATGCCCGGCGTGAAGCTGACCACCCAGGCCTACTGCAAGATGGTGCTACACGGCGCCAAGTACCCGCACTGCGCGGTCAACGGGCTTCTGGTGGCCGAGAGGCAGAGGCCGCGCAAGGAGCATCCGCCGGGCGCGGGCAGCCACACTCTCTTCGTGGACTGCATCCCGCTTTTCCACGGCACGCTGGCCCTGGCACCCATGCTGGAGGTGGCGCTCACCCTGGTAAGCTCGGGGTCACGCGGGATTTCTGGGCTGGGCGAAGTCAGGTGCCCTTCGTGCGACAAGAGTCTCCAGGGTAGGCAGCAAGCATAGCGAGCTCTCAGGGTTCTGTAAAGTTACCATGAAACCGAGTGTGGTGTGCATTCTTCAAACCTACACTCGGGATGTGCAGGTAGGTGGGTCTCTCTGAGTTCGAGGTCAACCTGGTCTACATAAGGAGCCCTGTGATAGTTAACGTTACATTTAAAGTTTAAGCCTACTATGGTTGAGACCAAGAAGCAAAAACAATGCCTCTAGCATGTACAGGCTGTACCCTGTCAGCCCACTTGCCTTTTTCCCCCCGACGTTGAAGACTATTTTTTAAATTGACTGAACTTGCGCAGCGGTGGTGGCGCAAGCCTTTAATCCCAGCACTCGGGAAGCAGACACAGGTGGATCTCTTGTGAGTTCGAGGACAACCTGGTCTACAGAGCTAGTTCCGGGACAGCCAGAGCTGTTACACAGAGAAACCCTGTCTCAGAAAAAAGAAAAAAAAAAAAAAGGTGATCTTGTAGAGTTTGCTGTTCGACCAAGATTGAGACAGAGATTTGGTACGTGTGCAGCCCTGACTAGCATTGGGCTCTCAACACTTCCTGCTTCAGGCTCCAGAGAACTGGGACATGAACTAGCATGCCTTACCATCTATTTCATTTTTTGTTTTTTGGAACAGGGTTTCACTTTTGTGGCCTTGGCAGGTCTGGAACACTGTGTAGACCAGGCTGGCCTCCAAAATACAGAGATCCTGCTTCTGCCTCCCGAGTGTTGGGATTAAAGGCCTGTACCACCAATGCCCAGCTGGTTCATCGATTTCTTAATTTACATTACAAAACCAAGGGAAACTTCTATTTGCAAGTGCCTTTGGGCAAATTGTCTTAAATTTACTGAGCTTATTTTTGAGTGTCTTAAAGAATTATTGAATGGATTTTTTTTTATTTGAATTCTTTGGGAGGGGACAGATAAGCTCCTGAATTTTAGTTCCTGGAGAATTGTGATTTTGGTGCCTGAAGTGTTGCTGAGGATTCTTGTGCATGTTCTGGACCAGTGTTGTTCTTTTAGCAAAGAAATTGCAGGTGGTTGAATCTGAACCTGCAGAGCCTGCCTTCAATGGTAGGGCAGGTTTCTCAGGTTCTACGCTGAGTATGACTTGTGGTGGGTTAAACCCAGGACTCAGGCTTGAATGTGCAGTGGCCTGACAAGCTCTATATCTAAGAAACACCAGCTAATAGAGGGGTTGTGGGTGTGGCTCGATGGTTAAGAGCACTTACTACTCTTGAGAGGAACAGTTCCTAACACTCAGGTGGTGGTGCATGCCTTGAGGTAGAGGCAGGCAGATCTCTGTGAGTTCGAGACCAACTTGTTCTACAAGAGGTAGTTCCAAGACAGGCTCCAAAGCTACACAGAGAAACACTGTCTCGAAAAACCAAACCAAAAAAAAAAAAAGTTCATCCAAGTCTGGGGACTTAGGATGGTGATGGTCAGGACATTCAAACCAGGCTGTCCCCCAGCCTGTGTGACCAGCCCTGGGGCCTTCAGGTGCTGGGGAGCTCTGCCTTTCTCAATCTCCACCTCAAGCCCAGACCCACTTACCAACTTTGAGCACCAGGAGTTCATTTGACTTTCTCTGACTCTTTGTACACCAAATGCTGTGACCACTCTTTTAATGCCGTCTGTCCTCTGCTGTACCCCTTAAACAAAATGGAACTGCTATGTTCCCAGCACAAAACTTAGTGGTCCTTAGGCCTTAGCTCCATTGTGACGAATTCTGAGGCCTGTGGACTGTCCTCCCTTGAGCTCTTTGTTGATCCATCCCTTCATCTCCTGCCAACCTCTAGTCTTAGATGATTCTCATCCTCTGTAGCAGCTTCACTTGAAGACCTGGAATCTGACAGGACCTCTTCAGACTAGTTCTGTCTGTCCCCAGGATGTGGCCCTGTACCCATGGGAGCAGCAAAGTTCCCATATGCCCACTGCTCCCCTCTCTCTGCTCCTATTTCCTTATCATCCACTCTCTCTTCCCAAACACCCTCCCCTCCCCCCAGTTTCCACTACTGTTCCTCCTTCACACGCCCTCTGCCCTGAGTATCTGCCCAACTCACCCTGGGACTGTCTCACCAGCCCCCATTGCAGCCATTAACTAAGTTTTAAATTTGTGCTGTTTACTGTCAACTGTGTAATCTTGCATGCCGAAAGCTATGAGAAGTCTCTGGGTTTGGAACCTACCACTGTCAAAGTGCAGCCTGTAGAAGTTTTAACAGCAGCAGAATCCTTGCAGCTGTGGTGGTGAAGCCGCAGCCTGGTAGCTCCCACTGCTGGGGAGCTCCCACTGGAAGGATTGTTGAACATGGGAAAGCTCAGCTAGCCATTTTTAACATGTGGTCTGGCAAGGGCAACATGAGATTCCTTTGAAGGGATTTCTATTATTATCTCCCATTAAAAAAAATCCTTGCTTTTCTGGGTGCTTTTCATTTGTTTAAGTACTTATGCCTATTATTTATCCTCAGCCCTTTGACGTAGGCAGTGAAGGAATTACCTCTAATAGCAAAAAACCCATAAAAATGTTGGTAGGAAATTAGCATGACCCTGTTCCTCTAAGCCCCTTTGTCTTTTTCTCTGCCTTGATTTCTGCTGAGGGCAGTCCTCTGTGCACTCTGCTCAGGTGACTTTCTTGCTCACCGTGATTGATTTGAGGCCACTATTCTTCGCGCTCTCTGTTCCGTGCTCACAGCTGTTGTCCCATCTGCCCTGGGTGTTCCTCAGCACATGCCCCCACTCCCTGCTCATCAGCCTCCCAAGCTTCTCTTCCAAGGAGAAGTCGCAGCTGACCTGAGAAGGAAACTCACAAACTCAGCCAAGGCCTGTTTCTTGCTGTAGACAGGAAGTTTTACCCCGTTGCCCTCCACTTGGTGGACATGCAGGGTCAGGAGTGGTGCCCTCCTCCCAGAGGCTCTTAGCCTTCCTGTTCTCTGGTTATTGTGGGGTTACCTGAAATAGATGGTGATGCTTAGATAGAACATTGGCAGGCTTGCAGAGAGGGCCCACCTGTGCAGAATCTTAACAGGAGCCAAAGGGTTGGCCCCTCAGTAGGTCTCCTGTGCAACTGGCCCAGAACGGCCTAGACGACATTGATCAGAGGGGGCAGGTTCACCCCCAGGAAGAGTGTTCTTTTCCTGTGAAGGTGAAGACTTGCCTGCAGAGGGCATGGTGTCTGTATTAGACACACTCAACTTCCTATGGCCGGGGCTGGTATTTGCTGTTCCTGTTCTGTTCTCACAAGCCATGTGGTAGAGGCCTGGGTTTTCAGATAGCCACAGTAGGAAGATGGACATGAGCAGAGGTCAGCTCTGGGGTAGTGCTTTGCTATGGCCCACTTGGGAGGGGGCAGGTTATTTGACTATGTGCCACACTATTCCAGGCCACACAGCCCCACCTTTTCATGGGGCCCGCTGGGCTACTCCAGTCTGAGGCCTCTGTATGCCTGTCCACTGCAAACCTCTGTCCAACAGCCTTTCTCCGGTCCTCTACTACCTCACTCATCCATTTTTTTATTTTGCTTTATTTAGGGGCTAAAGAGATCACTCCATAGTTAAGAGCACTTGCTGCTCTTCAGTGGACCCAGCCAGTTCCCAGCACCTATGTTGGGTGGCTCACAACAGCTTGTGACTCCAGTTCCAGGGAATCTGCCACCTCTGATCTCAGCTGGTGCTTGCATTCCTGTACACATGCCTACATACAAATAAATTTATTTCATGTGTATGGGTATTTGTTTGCATGTATGTCTGCACTGCATACATGTATGTGGTGCTTGTAGAAACCAGGGTGTCAAAAATCCCCTCAAACTGGAGTTACATACAGTTGTGAGCCACCATGTTGGTGTTGGAAATTAAACCCAGGACCTCTGTGATAGTAATTAGTGTTCTAACCACTGGGTCCTCTCTCTGGCCCCACTTTCCCTATTCTTCATGTTTCTCTGCTTCTGAGCTGTGGTGGTACAAGGGGTGGTTCCTTTGTTAGTGGGTAGGCAATATGTGGGTCCTAAGTATCTATGAGTTGGGGACACACACAGCGCAAAAAATTGTTGCGTTTCCTAAAGCCAAGGCAGAGCTTTTATGCCCTGGTTTACTTTAAGCCTCCCTACAGAGTTCTAGAAGTTCCAGGTCACAGCATTATTTATCCCACTGGAATTTGGTTAAGTACTTGGAAGTTTCACATAGAAGTTTGTCCTCAGTAAACTTAGGTACGTTGAAGCATGTGTTGTATTTGTCACAGGAATCAGTCTCGTGTCAGGTGCTGTCTGTGCTCGGAGGACAAGTTCAAGGTGGTACCATGTATGTTTGAGGCAGTGTGAGTCCTGGACTCTTTAGCCAAAAAACTAGATTAGACTGCTCATGAAGGCTAATGCTGTGTTGTTAGGGAGTAAAATATGTGTTATACCTCAATAATAAATACAGCATAGCTTTGGTGAGCTGAACAGACTTCAAAGGATATGCATGGGTAGAGAGATGTTCTAGATTCTCTGTATAGGACCAGAGTAAGCATAGGGGTAGTTAAACAAGTCAGTGGGTATGGTGTGAAGACAGATGCAGTTAGGAGGGTATGACTATAGGTCCAAGAAGACAGACTAGCAAAAAGGTGCCCAGAGCTCATAGAAAGAACCAGCCTCGTCCCCATTGTAGACTTCCCATCTGTGAGGTAATGAATTAACCTTGCTGTATGCTACCGTGTTTGAGTACCTTGTTTCAAGAGCAATAAATGGAAAACAAGTAGGCCCTGAAACAAGGGGACCCAGCCCTAAGAGCTGAGAGAGCTGGCCAGATGTGGGGCAGCTGCAGGAAGGACGCACAGGTCAGCTTTGATTAGAAACAGCCAGCGGATTCGTTAGGTTTGAGTTCAGGTAAAGATGCCAAACCCAAAATTTAGAACAAGGTCCACTGATATATGGGGTAAGTTTGGGGAAACTTCTAGGTAGGGACATTTCCAGCACCTATTCCCTTAAGAGGAGATGGCAAATCCTTTGCAGGGATTTGTCCAATGAAGCCATTATAAATATTTGGAGTCCCAACCCTAATCTTTTGGGTGGGTGACCAGAATTTTTAGCTGGTTCAGCGAGCCCTGGTTTTGACCCAATATGGTAACTCATGAATTCTCAGGAATCTGGAAATATTCTAGTTCACAAGTGATTCAGGGACCCTAAGACTGAACCTGTCTTAACGTCTGCTTGTACTCATGAAGGAGACTGGGGCTTGAACCAGAGTCCAAGGTTGAAAACAGGTTTTAAACACATATTTTTGTGTTGTTTTTTGAGACAGTTTTGTGTAGCCCAGATACCCACACTGTACAGTCAACAGACTTCTGGCCACAAACTTAAGATCCTTCGCCTCAGTCCCCAAATACTAAGGCCACAAATGCATGCCACCATGTCCAGCTCATGTTGTCAGATCTTGGTCTTTTTAAGAATTGTTTTGATTTCTTCTAATTTGTGTGAGTCTGCCACAGGCATGCATAACAGCAGTCAGTGTAGCTGTGAAAGTCTGCTGCCTGCCTGCTCCTGTTGGAAGCATACCACAGGAGACTAAGTGTGCTACACTGCAGAGACATGGGTGCCGTGGGCACCTGCCTCAGGTGCACGTTTACAGAAAAACTGACAAGCGTCACCAGCAAGTTGCTAAGAATGTTAAAGCCCATATTAAAGATTTCAAACTGGGCTGGAGAGATGGCTCAGTGGTTAAGAGCACTGGCTGGTTATCCTGATACCTATATTATAATCAGACATCTTCTGTATGTACTTTTGCTTCCTGTTAATCTTTTACTATCCTGGTAGTATCCTGCACATGCATGTACACAGGTTGCTACTGCATTCTTGTGGCAAAAACAATTAATAAACTCCTTTAATTGCAATTTTGAGATCTGTGTCAGCTTCAGTTACAACTTTAGTTCAACAGGTACACATCACTCATTTGTGTTACTCCTATGTCTTATAATAGATCAGAAATGTCTTAGGACCAAATACAGGCACATTTATGAGGTATCTGGAATAGCTCACAAGTTGCCATCAATATGGAACACACTCCATTCTGAGATTAGTGCTATTAATCATTCTAAAATACAAGCTTCCTCAACAAGAGGTAACCAGTTATTTTCCTAACTCAGTCAAAAATTTTGCAAAAGATTTGGAATTTTATCAAATCTAGGGATCATCATAGGAATAATCATTCTTCTGGTCATTTTCAAACATTTAGGATCTGCTATCCATTCAGCCCAGAGAAAAATTAATATGCTTCAGTTGAAAAGTAATTAAAAAAATAAAAAGGAGATGTTGGATGTTGGTGGCCTTGTCAGAGGTGCTGCAGTCAGAGGATAGCAGAACTATTCTGGGTACATCCTGGAGAGGCAGAGCCCCAGGATGGGGAGAGGGGTTGTCTCCAGAATGTTCCTCGCTTCTGCTGTGTTTCCTTCTGTTTGCTGCTGCTGTGGTCCTGCTGTGTTTGGCATGGTATGATTACTATGTGAAGGTATCCCACTGTGTCTAGTAGAGTGTGATTGTTCCTCACTGGGCAATGTACTTCAGGATCATAATGAAGGTTATTTTTAAAATAATTTTTAGTGCATGTATGTCTGTGTGAGGGTGTCAGATCTTAAAGTTACAGACAGTTGTGAGCTGCCTTGTTGGTGCTGGGATTTGAACCTGGGTTCTCTGGAAGAGCAGCCAGTGCTCGTAAACCACTGAAGCATTTCTCTAGCTCCATGAAGATGATTTTTATAGGAGTAATGATGATTAGTTAGATCTATGATTTGATTGGACTTTCTGAGTTAGCCTAAGATACAGGTGGTTAAGACAGTTAGTAAAGATGATTAGGGAAATGATTTAGGTTATTCTGCCAATTGCTTCAATAAAAGATACAAAAAAGGCAAATATAAGCTAAAAGTTGCCTTATCCTTTGTTAAATGTGAGACAAGAGATGAAAAATGTGAACAAGGAAGTTTATGCATTATAGACCCATGAATTCTACCTGTGAAAAAAACAGGCTGTTGATCAAAGAAAATAGTTATGACCCTACACCCAAGGTTCAGCCAGAGTTCTTTAGTCATGTAACTTATAGAATTAATCACAGGCTCTGGTATGCATCTTGAAAAAACAAAAGTTGTGAAAGGAAATTAAATGACCCTATTGTGTATAAAGGAAAATAGATGGCAAACTGACCACTCATTTAAAGTTTCTCTAGAGTAGAAAATAGAAATTGCAAACAGCTACCTGCCAGTACAAAAGAAAGTGGCTGAAATATATTTAGCTTGCTTAAAACTTTGTTAATCAGTTGTAAAGGAATCAGTGCTTTGAGGTGAAGAAAAATATTTAACTACTTATGGGCTTCTAAGAAAAATCTGTAACTTGTGTTCTTAATGTGATTTCTTCTTATATAAAGATTTTAATTTGTTTTTGAAAATATCTAACTCATGGACATGAGGAGGTGAAAACATAAAGGTAGACATCAGAAAAGAGGTAAAAGGATAAAATCAGGAAAACTGGAAAAGAGAAGAAAATCAACAGGGTAAAAGAAAAGAACCGAGAAAGAATAGAAAATGAACACCCAACAGAAAGAAAATGAAATGAATTCATCTTTGGCCCTCAGAAAAGGTGTGTGTGTGCGGGTAGCTCTGCCAACACCACTCCTTTCCACTGTCTCTGAGCTGCTGAAAGCTGCTCTTTACTGCAGCTCCCCCGCATGCTGTGTGCTTTTTGAAAAATGAGAGTGAATCAAGATGCTTCCCTCTCAGGTCTACACAGCACTGCCTCTGTGTAGTGTCAGCTGCTGAACCCAGCTCAGCCTCTCTGGGAGGACCCTGCCTCTGGGCCCTCCCTAGTGCATTTCCCTGACTCTGTGAGCTCTCATTTCATTGTAGTCAAGGAAACTACAAGGACTGTTTGGAGTATGGCTTGTCCCATGTGTGGTGGGGCTGTCACTGAGACCTGGTGCTAAGATCATTTTTCCCACTTGTGTTCCTCTCAGATTGACTCATGGTGCAAAGAGAACAGCTATGTGATCGCCGGCTATTATCAAGCTAATGAGCGTGTGAAGGATGCCAGGTATGGGTTACCAGCCTATGGGTGGTGGGGTAAAAGCCACAGAGCCATCACTGAGGTGCACTTGACACTGTCTCTGTAGGCTTCAGTTTCAAAGCCTATGCAAGTCCCCATCCCCCGCCCCCTGCTTTATGAGTTGTTCAGGCAACTGGCCAGATGAGTAGCCAGGATTTTACCCATGTCTCCTCTGTTGTGCATGGAGGGAATTCATAGAGGGGGAGCAGCTGCCAGGTCTGCCTGTGTCCACCAGCCTTCTGCCTCTCACTCCAAAACAAGAGGCTGTGGAGGGCAGAATAGCTCTCTTGCATAAATAAAGTGGTTTGGAGTTTGGCGCTGTTAGGATGGGGCCTATGGTAAAAGTGTGGTCTTTGGCACCTGAATTGGTCCAGGTTCCTGAGCCCAAGACACCACCACCTCAGTTCTCTCTCAAGCAGGATAAGTTCACTGTCTGCTTTAGACTGGGTCCCAAAAACCTAGTCAAGGACACCTTCAGTCAGAGTGGCTTAAAGAACTCATAAACGGGCTACTCCTAAAGGGGTGGGCCATAGATAGAACTTAGGAGCTATGTGCAGGGACCAAGATGGTGACAGCAGCCTCCATCCCTCAGCCCTCCAGGGCCAGCGAGGAAGAGCTGGTAAAGAAGGCCATCTCCAGAGGAGCAGCATCCTATGGCCAGCAGCCAGCCTAATAGGTCCCACATCAGGGAAGGGAGGCCCAGATCAGTTGGTACTGATGTCCCTTCCATGCGCTCTGCTGTCCTCCAGAGGCTTCCTTTGGCTGCAGCCAGCTAGAAGCCAGGGGACAGCTGGAAAATACCCACACAGTAAGTACTGGGGTTTTCTTGTGTGGTTAGATGACATCAACAGACCCCAGTGTACTTATTCAATATGGACGGTGGGGTGACCCATAGACACTTCTAGAAATAAAACAGTGAGCTGGAGAACCCCTGCTATGGTCACTGAATAGGCTTGGGAGTATTTAAGAGCTATGCCATTTTATCCTGGGACCTACATCCAGCCAGGGACTCTTAAGTTGATAGCCAACTAGATGCTGGGCTCATTGAGTTCATCAAGGCACCTTCTGGGACCACCCGGAACCTGTGGAAGCCCTGTTGCTCAGGTCCCCTGTTTCTCCTGCCGCTTCTTTTTCTCTGTGGCTTCTGGCCCTTGATTCTGCCTCTAGGTGGGTGACAAGTGCTTGTCCACCCTGTACAAAAGCTTCTGTGAAGAAGCTGTGTGGCAGACAGCTAGTTCTGCAGAGCCAAATGAGTCCTTTAGTCTCCCTGTGAGGGTCCTGAAAGGAAGAGGCAGCGTACAGCAGCAAAAGTTGCAGACCTACCTGACAGCATGGCTGGCAAACATTTGTCAACATGAGATTCAAGTGTCATTGGTCAAACTGGGGAAAGCTCACATGTAGAGATGTAAAATGGCTTAGAGCCCTAAAAGTGGCTTGGTTTAAAAAGAGGATTTGGTTGCCAGGGCCTTGAACCTCCTGTGACTAGTTTGCTGTGAGTGAGCCACTTGAGTAGCAGGCATGTGGAGAGTACAGGCTCCAGCCCAGCTGGTCATCAGCCTGCCGTAGGCAACACTCCATTGAGCCCCAGAAGGAAAGCTCCTCCTTTCAGGAGATACCCCTAGGGTCCCCTCTATAAGGGCTCTTCAGAGGAGTGAAGCAGGGCCCACTCTGGCTTTTATATCTCCAGAGTCATCTCACTGGGCCAACACTCAGCTGGCTCCATTACTGCTTGTTAATTCAGGTGTTGGTGAACTATGCTGACTGGTGACTGGTGGCCTGGCTAAAGTATGGTAGAGCTCACAAGTCCTTCTTTACAGCCCAAACCAGGTGGCAGAGAAGGTGGCCTCCAGGATCGCTGAGGGCTTCAGTGACACTGCACTCATCATGGTGAGTCTCACTTATGCTGCTGTGTGAGCTTCCCTCCTGAGGCTGTCCCACCTTCAGGCCTCAAGGGTTACATCACAGTCGTGGGCTGAGTACTACTGTGGTCATAGCACTGGGACAGGAGCTTTCAACTCTAGCAGTCCTGGCCTGCTCCCCAACCTCACTGAAGCCAGCAAAAACAAGGACTACTGTTAAAAGCCAGTGTAGCCTAGGGGTCTGAATAGCCTACGTAGTCTGGATACACAGTCTTAAGAGTAAGGGGAGGGATCTGGTTTGAGCGCTCTGTTCAGTGTGCTTTTGTGGGAAGGTGGGGAAGTACCTCATACTCAGCACATGCAGCACAGAGTTAGTTCCCTATCTGTGCTGTTGGTGCTGCTTACATGGGAGCCCAGGAAGGCACTGCTCTTCTCAGCATTGTCCTCATGCTTGTCATGACCCTCACCTTCTCCTCAGGTGGACAATGCCAAGTTCACGATGGACTGCGCGGCACCTACGATCCATGTGTACGAGCACCATGAGAACAGGTGGCGCTGCAGAGACCCACACTAGTGAGTGCGGTGCCCTCCTGCAGGGCCGAGACTGTAAGGCTTCTATGGAAGACGGGGTCTGGGAGGTACTTACTGGTCTCCACTGTGGCACCACACTCCTCCTGGGTTTGATTTGATTTCTGATCCCACAGATTCTTCAGCCATGTCCCTCTCGGTTCTTCAGTGCCCTGTTTGGAGGGGATCTGTCCATCCACACTGTCTTAGGTCCATCTCTGTTTCTCAGCAGCCTTTGTGATCTTGGGTAGGCATGAGGCTGACTCTCCTGTTTGCCCTGCAGCGACTACTGTGAAGATTGGCCGGAGGCACAGAGGATCTCAGCAGCACTCCTGGACAGCCGCTCCTATGAAACACTCGTGGATTTTGATAACCACCTGGATGACATTCGGAATGACTGGACAAACCCTGAGATCAACAAAGCGGTTCTGCACCTGTGCTAGACGAGGGCCACCACAACTGGAGACTCTCCACTGCAGAGAAAAGAGAACCATATTTTTGAATTTAGAGGAATAGTGAGTTAGTCTGATGGGAAGCTGCAAGTCTGTGATGTGTGCCTTGGAAGGGGAGTCCAGTCGGCATCCTTCAGGGCAGGGCTGTGGAGAGGTATGGGCCACCTAGGCTTTGGGTTCTTAGTCCTGTGCTGCCCAATGCTGCCCATCAAAGCTCTTTCTGTTTGTTCCAGGTTGTTCCCATTAAACAATTCTAGTCTTTTATAATCTAGAGAGAATGCATTTCAGTCTTTACTCCGGTGAGTGTGTAAGTCTTTACTTGACTGAGCCAACTCCAGGCATCCTGGCATCAGGCAGCCTCATGGACTGCTGCTGGCGCATCATCTGATCAGCCAAGTTGGTACCGGGGCCGGGAGCTGTGGGCTCCACAAGGATGCACAAGGGAAAGCCAGCACCGTTGCCTGAGAAACCTCACTGTACAGTGAACACAAGCACATCGGTGATGAGAGCAGAGATCCCACGAGGAGAGGAAGCCAAGCCGTGAACATTCCCAAAGCCTGACTCAGCTGCTCTAGGTCTTCAGAATGAGAGCTACTTTGTATTTAAAATAAGCAAAAAACAAACAGAGAAAAAAAAAACCTTAGTGTCCATCGTCCCTGGGATAGCCCAAGCAATGTGCTTGTTAACTTGGATCATTTGACCAAGTGTTCTGACCATCTTAGGAAATAGTATACAGATTTGTGGTACATTGTGTATTATCCTTTGTGAATGTTTTGCACAGAAAATAGTGCCTTTCCTTGGGCTTCACGAGGCTGGTGACAAGGGTTGGTGACAGCATTCCCCCCCTCACTTTCTAAGTGGGGCAGCTAGGGTGACTTTAGTGAGTGGACCCTGATGGGTGTAGGACCTCTTGCCTTTAACTGCTTTTATTTTGTTGCTCGTGTTTTTTGTTGGTTGGTTGGGGGAAGAGTTTAGTTTTGGTTGGTTCAGAATATCCTTTTGCCTTCCTGATTAGCTTGGTGTTGACTGCATATGTGGAGGAAGGAGCCTGGCCTTGAATGTGCAGTGATGTCCCTCTGCCTTTGCTTCTCAAGTACTGAGATCAGCACCCCTCCCAGATCCCCTAGCCTTTTAAATTGACATTGTATCTGGACAAAGGAGGTGTGAGGACCAGTCCCCATGCTTCCTCACCCTCGTGCCCTCGGGGTTTTTCAGACTCATCTGTTTCAGGACAGCCATGGGCATGTGTGGTCCCAGTCTTCCCTTGTCCCCCAGTACTACCTTGTTTATTTTTTAGATGGGAAATTTCTTGATGTTTCTGGGGTTGGGCAGCAACTCACAGTTCCTGTCCAAGTCAGTATGACAGCCCATACCTGTGTCCTAGCGAAGAAGGAAAAGGAGTTAAGTACAATTCTTCATGAGTTTTAGGCCAACTTAGGCTAGAGTGAGAACATGTTCTGAAAACAAAATCTGAAGCAGGAGGCAGATCCCCTTCATTGTGTTCAGACACAGCTCCTTAAGCTATGGCTGGCAAGTGCTTCTGATGGGCTTCGTTCATGGGAGCAGAACACAGGCTTCAGCACCCAACCTCAGGTGAGTATGTTCACCTCTCCTACCCATCTGCCCTAGTTATTGTTGCTGTGATAAAGCACCAAAAGAATTTGGGGGAGGAAATGGTTTATTTCACCGTTAACTCTGGAGGCAGGAACTGAAGCAGAGGCCACGGAGGGGCTGCTTACAAGGCTTGCTTTCTTATATAACTCAGGACCGTATGCCCAGGGAGAAAGCCATCCACAGTGGGCCCCCTCCATCAATCAGTAATCAAGAAAACAGCCCACAGACTTTTCCACACTCTAATGGCAGCAGTTCCTCAATTGATGTTCCCTGTTCCCATGTGACTAGTTTATGTCAAGTTGACAAAACTAGACTACAATGTTTTAGTTGGAGTTCTCTGGAGAAAACAACTGATGAGGCAGTATATGTATATATATATATTTTTTTACATAATATGTATCTTTATGTGGAATGGGATTTATTAGAGTCACAGGTAATAGTCCAACCATTCCAACAATGGCTGGCTCCCAGGGGATAGTCCAAGAATTCAGTGTTCCGTCCACAAGGCTGATGTCTCAGCTAGTCCTGAATGTATACACTGAAATCACAAAGAAGTAGGCTTTAATGCCAGAGAAAGAGTTAACTTGCCAGTGAGGACAAAGGGAAGGTAGGCGGGCAACAAGCAAAAGCTTCCTTCCTTGTTCTTCATATAGACTGCCACCAGACGGTGTGGATCTTCCCGCCTGAAATGGCGAATCAAGAAAAATCCCTCACAGATGTAACCAACGGCTTGGGTTTAATTAGTTCCAGATGTAATCAAGAATAGCCATCACAATCAGACAATTGACCCCTTGCCAGTTTGATACACACGGCACTATTAAACCATAACCTTTTCTTGTTTATCCCCAAGTTGCTTTTGAACCACTTTTAGCACAGCAATGGAAACAAAACTAGAACACCATTAAAAAGTATACATATAGTACAAACTATTAATATAAAATTTTCTTAAACATTCCAAAAAAACTAAAGGATTTTGAAGGTCTCACCATAAGGCACTGGTGAAAAGATGTCTAACCTGCTTTAAATGTGCAGAGTCTGAGTGTATTGAAGCAGCCTGTTGTAGGAATTTGTATAGGTTTAATTTTTTTAATAAATTTTCCACTTAATTTTTATTGATTTTTTTTTGAGACAGAATTGGTCTAGAACTTGCTGTATAGACCAGGGTGGCCTCATACTCAAAGATTCACCTGCCTCTGCCTCCTGAGTCTATAATTGCCTTTAAGAATTAAGGATACTGCTGGGCAGTGGTGGCATATATACCTTTATTACAAACACTGGGAAAGCAAAGCCAGGTGGATTTGTGAGAGTACATGACAGCCTTTAATCTCAGCAGAGGCAGGTGGATCTCTGTGAGTTCAAGACCAGCATGGTCCATGAAAGCTATTTCCAGGACAGTCTCCAAAGCCACAGACAAACCCTGTCCCAGGAAAAAAAAAAAAAAAAAAAACAAGAAATAGTACTGAAGGATGCTCATATGGAAAAACAGTCAACAGCCTCATCAGAAACTGTTTGCTGCTTAGATAAAACTGACTGTTAATTTAGAGGTGTGTGGGGTATTTGCCTAAACCAGATGTGTCCAGTGCCCATGCTATAGGAAGCTTGGAAATCCTGGGGAATATGGCTCAGCAGATAAATGCACCTTTCAAGTCTGGTTCTATGCCTGGGACCCACATGTTGGAAATGCATAGGTTGTCCTCTGACCTCCACATGTGCACATAATTGATAAATAAATGTTATTTTTAAAGCCTTTGTATAATTAGCATTATTCTAGGGGCGTATTTTTCTGATATCTGGAGAAACTTATAATTTCTGTATGCTATTTTCCACTTTGTACCTACTTCTGTCGCTTGCCTTTCTGAAACCTACCCATTTGGGGTGAGACCTATACTCAGGTTTGGCAGAAAGTTCAGTAGAATGCTTCCCTTCCAGTTCACAGGTGAGAGCATGAAAGGGTGTGTGTGTTTGTGTTGCATGCATGGTGCTAGAGATTGAACCTGGGGCCTCATACATGTGCGGTGAGCATGGTGAGCACTCTACCCATGAACTACATCCCCGGCCCTGTAAATATTTCATTCTCTTCAAATTGGCCTGCAACTTCATGTGTACCTGTGATATCCTCAGTGGGACCCGTATCATTCCTTCAAAGCCATTTCTGCAAGCTTTCATCCCTGAAGACTAGCTGCCTGGAGAGCCGCTCCTTGCAGGCTTCTGAAAGGCTGCAATCTGGAATCTGAAGTGCTTGCTCTGGAATCAAATCTAAGGCAGCTGTAGAACAGCCAGGGATCACCTTCTCTGTTGCCTCTTTTTTCCAAGCAGGCAACACACCAGCGCAGCCGGTACCTGGCCCTTACTGGAGATAAGCCCTGGCTCAAACTGGCATCTTGCAAACTGGAATAGTATGCTGTGTTGAGTGCTGGCTGAAAAATTTTCAGATATCCTAGCCGGGCGTTGGTGGCGCACACCTTTAATCCCAGCACTCGGGAGGCAGAGGCAGGTGGATCTCTGTGAGTTCGAGGCCAGCCTGGTCTACAAAGTGAGTTCCAGGATAGCCTCCAAAACCACAGAGAAACCCTGTCTCGAAAAACCAAAAAAAAAAAAAAAATTCAGATATCCTAAGTCTAGTGAATTGTACTTCCAATTACTTTTGATATCCCCTAGGCAAGGCCCCTACCTACCTATCAGGACCAACCAGGAGTGGGGAGTCAACAGTTGTCAGTGTTCAGCCTCTGAGGATCAACTGTACCTCCAGATTCTCATCACCTGCCCCTGGGAGGGAGCTGGGTATTTCTAAATTGGATGTATTCTTGGACACTCCCTGGGCTTCCAACAGGCCTTGCTTCTTAGGGCGGTGGCTTAGAGCCTGTTGTCAGCTGTTGCCAACAGCCCTACACCATGCTGGATAGTGGAGGATGGGTTAGGTAAGTGCCATTTGCTACATTGTGGTTCACGGCCCCTGAGCTTGTTGCTGCCCACACCCCTCTAGTAACTCCCGCCTACAGGGCCATCCAGAGCAGAGAGAACATGCTCACACTAGAATATATATTCAGATGCAGAGAGAACATGCTCACACTAGAATATATATTCAGATGCAGAGAGAACATGCTCGCACTAGAATATATATCCAGAGCAGAGAGAACATGCTCACACTAGAATATATATTCAGATGCAGAGAGAACATGCTCGCACTAGAATATATATCCAGAGCAGAGAGAACATGCTCACACTAGAATATATATTCAGATGCAGAGAGAACATGCTCACACTAGAATATATATTCAGATGCAGAGAGAACATGCTCACACTAGAATATATATCCAGAGCAGAGAGAACATGCTCACACTAGAATATATATCCAGAGCAGAGAGAACATGCTCACACTAGAATATATATCCAGAGCAGAGAGAACATGCTCACACTAGAATATATATCCAGAGCAGAGAGAACATGCTCACACTAGAATATATATCCAGAGCAGAGAGAACATGCTCACACTAGAATATATATCCAGAGCAGAGAGAACATGCTCACACTAGAATATATATCCAGAGCAGAGAGAACATGCTCACACTAGAATATATATCCAGAGCAGAGAGAACATGCTCACACTAGAATATATATCCAGAGCAGAGAGAACATGCTCACACTAGAATATATATCCAGAGCAGAGAGAACATGCTCACACTAGAATATATATCCAGAGCAGAGAGAACATGCTCACACTAGAATATATATCCAGATGCAGAGAGAACATGCTCACACTAGAATATATATCCAGAGCAGAGAGAACATGCTCACACTAGAATATATATCCAGAGCAGAGAACATGCTCACACTAGAATATATATCCAGAGCAGAGAGAACATGCTCACACTAGAATATATATCCAGAGCAGAGAGAACATGCTCACACTAGAATATATATTCAGATGCAGAGAGAACATGCTCACACTAGAATATATATCCAGATGCAGAGAGAACATGCTCGCACTAGAATATATATCCAGAGCAGAGAGAACATGCTCACACTAGAATATATATTCAGATGCAGAGAGAACATGTTCACACTAGAATATATATTCAGATGCAGAGAGAACATGCTCACACTAGAATATATATTCAGATGCAGAGAGAACATGCTCACACTAGAATATATATTCAGATGCAGAGAGAACATGCTCACACTAGAATATATATCCAGATGCAGAGAGAACATGCTCACACTAGAATATATATTCAGATGCAGAGAGAACATGCTCACACTAGAATATATATTCAGATGCAGAGAGAACATGCTCACACTAGAATATATATTCAGATGCAGAGAGAACATGCTCACACTAGAATATATATTCAGATGCAGAGAGAACATGCTCACACTAGAATATATATTCAGATGCAGAGAGAACATGCTCACACTAGAATATATATTCAGATGCAGAGAGAACATGCTCACACTAGAATATATATCCAGATGCAGAGAGAACATGCTCACACTAGAATATATATTCAGATGCAGAGAGAACATGCTCACACTAGAATATATATCCAGAGCAGAGAGAACATGCTCACACTAGAATATATATCCAGAGCAGAGAGAACATGCTCACACTAGAATATATATCCAGAGCAGAGAGAACATGCTCACACTAGAATATATATTCAGATGCAGAGAGAACATGCTCACACTAGAATATATATCCAGATGTCGCGTCTGCTGCGCGGCCTGTGTCCGAGAACGTGCGGAGGGTGTCGGGGATTGACAACACAGAGACTCGTTCAACGATGTAAAGAAAACTTTAAGCAGGCTCCAAAAAGGTTCAAGAAAACTTCCTAAGAAAGGCTCCCACCAGAGAAGCTTCTGCTCTCTCCTCTACCCTGGCTGGTTCTGCTCTCACTCCAGAAACTGATCTGGGCGTGGCAGAAGAGGTGGTTAGTCTTTGGACAAGGTCGAGGTCAGGGTGGTTTCTGCGGGCAGGCCTTTTCCAGGAACTTAATGCCCCCAGGCATTGTATTGTTTTTAGTAAACATTGTCTTACAGCTGCCTACTCCCAGGCAGAAGGGGAAGTGGGTCTCTGCTCAAGGTCTGGTGTTCCCACATCCAGATGCAGAGAGAACATGCTCACACTAGAATATATATTCAGATGCAGAGAGAACATGCTCACACTAGAATATATATCCAGAGCAGAGAGAACATGCTCACACTAGAATATATATCCAGAGCAGAGAGAACATGCTCACACTAGAATATATATCCAGAGCAGAGAGAACATGCTCACACTAGAATATATATCCAGATGCAGAGAGAACATGCTCACACTAGAATATATATCCAGATGCAGAGAGAACATGCTCACACTAGAATATATATTCAGATGCAGAGAGAACATGCTCACACTAGAATATATATCCAGAGCAGAGAGAACATGCTCACACTAGAATATATATTCAGATGCAGAGAGAACATGCTCACACTAGAATATATATTCAGATGACATTGAGAAAGCTCTTAGTTGCTAATTGTTTTAACATCTGCAATGTGTCACTGGCCAGATGCATCCAAGGGCACCACCTGGCTGTAGACAACAATCAGTATTGGAAGGATAAGTGAATAAAATATTCAAAAGGGGGCACAGCTTCTGCCTCATCCCACTGTTTCTATCAGCCACCCCTTCACCTGGTGTTGGTGGTGTCTCCATTTACAGATGGGGACACCAAAGCCTGCCCAGCATGCAGAAGTGACTTAGTTTCACACAACAGGAAGTGATGGAGGAGGGGTTTTTGAGCTGGCCATACCTCTACCGGAGACAGACAGTAGCTCAGTGTTACTTGGCATGTGTGACCCAGGTTCGGTACCCTTTACTGCAGAAAACCCTCTCTGTGCAGGCACTCAGTGCCCTTCCAGTCCAGCCCAGTCCAAGTACCCTTAATTACAGAACAGCAGGAAAGCAGCAATGGACGGGCACTTTCCTTTCTATCGTTTTGAGTGTATGTGTGTGCCTGCGCGTGCGCATTTTGCCATCCCCTTCACTGATGACTTGAGTGGCCGGCTGCAGCTGCAGCATTACCAAGCAGAGGTGGATAGCAAAGTGCCTATGTTTGGGCCGTGCAGTGAAGAACAGGAGGCGCAGCCGTGGGTAGTAGTCTCAAGCTCTGGCCCAGAGAATTCAGACCCAAAGAGACCGGAGCCTAAAGCCAACATTTTCAGCAGAGAGCCACTGTTTGTTTTGTTTGATCATTGTCTCCCATATGACACAGACTTACCTTGAACTCATAATCCTCCTGCATCTACTTCCCAAATGCTGAGTGCAGGCATGCCTGACTGTGATCAACAATGTTAGTTATTTCAGCGGTGTGCAACATGACAGGTTTTTTTGTTTGGGGGGGAGTTGTTTTTGTTTTTTAAAGATTTCTTTATTTATAATGTATATCATGTTCTGCCTGATGTATGCCTGCATGCCTACCTAGATGGACACGTGAAGAAATGTACATAGCTAGATAGGCGGGAGGTAATGGTGAGGGTGGTGCCCTGGAGAGCAGAGGGAAACCCCAGCAGAGAGGAGTCTAGATGGGGTTCCCACCTGCCCACCCCAGACAGCAGGAAATGCCCGCTCCTTCAGAGCTGTGGTAGGGAGGGCCAAGAGGAAGTTAGAAGCCCTTCCTGCCTTGGGCTTCCACCTCCTTCCCCTGGGGCCATTCCTGGAAGATGGGCAGAGCTAGTGATGAGTGGACCCGGAACCAGCATCTCAGCCAACATGTCTCGTGGTTATGAGTAATGCAGAGTACCCAGGGCCCCTTCTAGTCCACATCTAGAGAGTGTGGGTTATGGCCATACAAGTGCCACCAAGAAAACACCTAGGAAGGGAAAGATATTCCCAGAGAACCAAGAGAGAAGTGTTATGATCACATACAGATTTCCCCCATCGTAGGGTCATGGACCTAGAGAAAGAGCACCCTTGAGCTCACCCCTTGAGCACACTAGGAGCTCACCCCTCCCTCTACTCCAGTACCTACTGAGATTACCCACTTCCTATCCTGCTCAGCATCCTCTCTAACACAGCATCCTTGCCCAGCCTCCTGCCCAGCATCCCTGTCCACCTTCTTTCCACGCCTCCTGCTCAGCATCCCTGCCCAGCCTCCTGCCCAGCATCCCTTCCAGTTTCCTTGCTCAGCTCCCTGCCCAGCATTCCCTCCCAACATTTTTGTCTAGCCTTATGTAAGTATTTATAACAAAATGCAGAGTGAAGACTGTCCACCCAACACAAGCCTACTTTTTTGTCTCTCCTGGGAGTGATTTGGGTGGGAGAGCAAGGGTCCATTGCTGAACATGGCACTGTCTAATATACTGTCTCTGCTGCCCAGGGGTCTGCAGCTAGGGAAAGACTTTCATTCCCAGATAGTTCAGCTAAGTTTGTTGCTGCCTCACGAAGGCTGAGGACTGAGCAGACCATTTGGCTACCATCAGCCAGTCTGTCTCATAGGATTCTTGGTCCCTCACCCTCTCCCATGCATCGAGAACCACACTGATGGTGGCACACTGAACTCACCAGCCAGAGACTCTCCATTTCCACAAACTAAAGCAGGTACCCTCCCAGAGGACTGAGAGGAACCAACGTCTTCTCCACACACTGCCCAGAGAGGACACGATGCAGGAAGTTGGACAGTCCTCAAAGGCCTAACCTGTACCTAAGGACAGCCACCTGCACATGTCCCAGTGAGGAGAGGTAGTGGAGCTAGGCACTCCCCTGATGTGTGACCCCAGAATTCTAAACACCAAGGTATGTCTCAGGAGAGAAGTACCTGCTGTTTCTGCAGCCCGTCTCTCCCAGGGTCCCCTAGCTGACATAAGTGTTGTTAGCTCACTTCTTGCTCTTTTTACTTTTGACAGCTCTATGGTTTGCTTGCCTTTTTTGTTTGTTTGCCTTTTTGTTGGTTTGTTGCTGGTTTTGTTTGGGGGGGGAGGGTTTGTTTGTTTTGGTTTTTCGAGACAGGGTTTCTCTGTATTGTTTTGGAGACTGTCCTGGAACTCGCTTTGTAGACCAGGCTGGCCTCGAACTCAGAGATCCGCCTACCTCAGCCTCCCGAGTGCTGGGATTAAAGGTGTGAGCCACCAATGCCCGACTTGTTTGTTGCTGTTTTGTTTGTTTTTCCAAGTCAGAGTTTCTCTGTGTAATCCTGGCTGTCCTGGAACTCTCTTTGTAGACTAGGCTGACTTTGAACTCAGAGATCCACCTACCTCTGCCTCCCAAGTGCTAGGATTAAAGATTTGTGCCACCACCACCTAGCCAGCTTAAAATTTTTTTAAAAAGCTCTATGGCAGCTGGGCGTTGGTGGCACACTCCTTTAATCCCAGCACTTGGGAGGCAGAGGCAAGTGAATCTCTGTGAGTTCGAGGTCAGCCTGGTCTACCGAACAAGTTCCAGGACAGGCTCCAAAACAATACAGAGAAACCTTGCCTCGAAAAACCAAAAAAAAAAAGAAAAAGTTCTATGGCTCACCCCAGTGGAGTCCCGGCACTCACCAGGCCTCTAGTCAGCCAAGTTGATGAAGCATCACAGGCCTTGGGGAGGGCATTCCTGGAAGGGCTACACCCTGTGGAGCCAGGATCCATGCCTAATGCCAGCTCAGAAATATTCTGAAGGTAAGCAGCAGGCACTAGCCAGCAGGACTGGATGTGGCTCAGGGCAGGTACATGCTTAGCAAGGAGCTCACTCTGTCACCACCCCTGAGCAATTCAGAGCGGTGACCCAGAGGTTCAACTCTCTGAATTCAGGGGACCCACTGGGCCTGAGGCAGTCCCTCTCCACTGCTGGCTTGAATCCTCGGACTATGTATAAACTTAAAACAGCCACTGTCTAGTATCCTTCTAGGACCATTCAAGATGCTCACACCTGCCCTTCCTGGGTCAGACACCCACAAATGGCTTCCTTCTCATTCCTCTTCCTCCCCACTGGCCCACCCCTCTAGCCCCAGGGCCAGACATAGGGATCCAAAGCCAGGGGATTAAAGCTTCAAACGCCACAGGGCACACACAAGGCCAGGGCTTAGGGATAATTTCCCTTCTCTGCAAAGGCCAGGCATTTAGTCCACATGAGCCAGGAGGGACAGGGAGCTGCCCAAGCCCAGATGGCCACCACAGAAGAGCAAGCAACTGTCCCCAGCCTAAACGGGTTCTCTGAGACTAAAGACGGCCACTGAGCTCCTGTGACAACAGGTAGGAGGGGCAGAAAGGGGTGGTCCTAGAAGGCATGTGGAGGACCTGTATTCAGCCTCCAGGGCTCGTAACTCCCCCTGTGCCCAGCCATGTGCCATGAGCTTACAAACCTCTCACCAGGGAAGGCTAAGAAGTGTCACCTTTGTTTTTTTAAAGGGACCACTACACATGTTGTTGTGGGGTTATTTTATTTTAAACAAAAATGTTTACGTTTATCAATTGATTGGTTGTGGGGGAGGTGCCATGGTGCACATTTGGAGAGGTCAGAGAGCAACTTGTAGGACTTCCATCTCCTGCCATCATGCAGTCCTGGGGATCAGGCTTGATGGCGAGCACTTTTGTCGGCTTGGCCATTTCTACCATCCCTTGTTGGGTCATTTTACGAGACGACTACAGACATCCATCCACTCTGCCCTGCTGTAGTCCCCACTTGCCTGCTGTGATCTCTGCCTGCTTCCCTCCCGGCATAAGTTAGGAGGGGAAAAACTCATTTCCTTTCAGTGCCCTGTGCAGAAAAGAATGGCCATTTGTTACACAGTCCGTTTGCTCCTGGAGATGAGCGGCTGCTTCAGAGATTTTCTGAGTTCCTCTCCAGCAGAGGCAGCCAGCAGCCTCCATGCATGCTCTCTCCCAGGACAGCCTGTGCAGATGGCCTCACTGAAATGCCTTTCTAGTTGGAAGACAGGAAGAAGGACTACCAGCTGAGCAATGTCAGCATCCTTCCATGAGCCAGCAGTCTTCAGATCCGGGGCCTCCAAGAGTCAGAAGTGGCCTTCTGGGCTTCCGTATAGGCTTGGCAGCCACCTCTGACTCCCAAGGGTCCCTGGTGCCAGGGGCAGAGGAGTGATTTAGCACCTGAAGACTAAAATAATTCTCGAGCTGGGCATGGTGGCTTACACTTGTTGTCTCAGCATTCAGATTCAGAAGGTTGAAGCAGGAGTGTTTCACCAGCCTGGGGTATATGGTGAGTTCCTGCCAGCCTGGTCTACAAAGAGTGAGACTCTTTTTCAAAAACAAAACAAAAACAGGGCTAGGGGTATATCTCACTTGGTAGAGTGTTCTCGAACGTTCATAAAGCCCTGGGTTTAATCTCCAGCACCTCATAAACCAGGTATGGTGGACACAACTCCAGTCCTAGAACTTGGAAGGTTGAAGCAGGAGGATTGCCTCAAATACAAGGCCAGCCAAGGCTACACAGGACCAGGCCTTTGTTATGTCTCAAAAAAGCAAACAAAAAATATCTTCCAAGCATAGGAAATCACAGAAGACCTGAACATCAACCTTAGTACTCCCCAGTTTGGTCTTCTGATATGATTGATTGATTGATTGATTGATTGTGTTTATATGTACATGAGTACACAAAGCCACTGCTTCCCCAGGGAAGAGTTTCCCAGATGCTGGAAATAACAGAAAACTGCCCTATCCATGGCTCCAGCTGTGAGACCTCTGCCCATTGCCCAGGCCAACCTCTGTCTGGAGTTGCTGGGTAGAGCCTGGAAATTCATCAGGATTAGCCCACCAAAGCACTGCGTGGCTAAGAAGTGTGCCTCGTCACCCGGTGATACACAGCCAGCTGCAAGCAGTAATGTCACTGCAAATACCAGCCTTGGGATGGAGGAAAGACCAATTTTGGAATAATGTTTACAGTAATGATGTACTCCATAAGGATTTGTTGATAGACCCTGCTAAAAAAGATGAGAGTCCAGTGAATGTCACAGGCTTCTTAGTTTTGTTTTGTTTTTAATTTTGGGGTTTGTGGGGAAGAATTTTTGTTTTGTTTTGAGTCAGGGTCTCATATGACCCAGGCTGGCCTTGAGCTCCTGATCCTCCTGCCTCTACTTCTTGGATACTAAAATTACAGGCATGTGCCACAATACCATTTCTTTTTACTTTTTTTTTTTTTTTTTTTTTTTGTGAGGCAGGATCTCTCTGTGTAGCTCTGGCTGTCCTGGAACTCACTCTCTAGACCAGACTGGTCTTGAACTCAGATCCACCTGCCTCTGCCTCCCAAGGTATCAGGATTAAAGGTGTGTACCTTGATCTTTACTTTTTTACCGTGGCTTCTAGTACATCTTAAATGGTGCCTGGGATCTGTTACTCCTTTGCCCAGCCAGTCTGATGTGTCACAGTCACAGCAGGGACTCAAGGAAGGTATGACAGACAATGGATGGTGGACAGATGGGTGAGCAAGAGCTCATCTGAACTGATGTGAGGAATGGACAAGGCCCAGCAACTTCATCTTTGCTCTCTGACTTCCAGGCTAGTGTTATAATAAGGGTTGGGAGCCTCCCTTCTCTCCTGCTCCTCATACCCCATGAAGCCTCAAGCACAATAGACCCTGTAGGGTTGAGGTGGTGGGAGGTTGAGCCTCTGCCCTGCAGTCCTGGGAATAGCTCCCTACCCCCACCCCACCCCCAACACTTCCTGGCACCATTCCCAGAGCACTGACCCAGAGCCTGCAGGGTGCAGACATCAGCCTGAGTTCTCAGGGAGGGAAACTCCAGCATGTGGCTGTCCCTGGCCACAGTTCCCAGGCCAGCACCTGCAGTGTCAGTACACCAAGGCATCTGCTTTGAAGCTGCTGGGCCTGCACTTCACAAGGGCCTGGGCCGGCACCCAGTTAGCCTGGGAATGGTTGCCCTCCACACACACACACACTGAGTTGGGAACACATGAAGTTGCTCCTGACCAGAATCTGGAACAATGTACTTTGTGCAGCTCATGTCTGGGAGCACCAAAAACTCCCCACCCCCATCCCTGGACACACACACACACACACACACACACACACACACACACACACACACACACACACACACACACACCATGCCTGGCTTAAGGTGGGAAAGATTTCACAGAGGAATCTGTGCTGTTCTGTTTGTGTTTTGCAGAACGGAGGGCCTCAGGCAAGTGCTCTCTACCACTGAGCTGTATCCCTGGTCCTCTCTCCACTTTCTATTTTGGGACAGAATCTGATTAAACTGAACTCACTCTGGCCTTGAACGCACAATTTAGCCTAGGTCTCGAACTTGCCTTCCTCCTGCCTCAAACTCCTGGGTAGCTGGGAAGACAGACCTGGCCACAGGCTGGCAGCGTTTGTAGCTTTGCACCCTAAGCTTACTGGTCCACAGCCCACCCATCCCATGGCCCACTCTGACATCTCCCTAGATGTGTGGGGCTGGACATGAGCTCTGACCTGGGCTTGGAACCTTCAAGGCTTTCTGTCACCTGATTCTCTGTGGAGGTGTGGACACCTTGGCATATGAGCAGAAAGACAATTCTGCAAAAGTCACTTTCTCTCAGGAGGCAGAGCTCTGATCTGTGTCACAATAGCTGACTTGGGCAACGTGTGTGCACTAACTCACAACGGGCTCTGTGTGCTGCAGGAGACACAGGGACAAAGGAGCTAGCCAATGCCACCACACCCGGCTGAGAGATCCCATCACCACTCATACCCACACATGAGCTTCGCAGAGAGTCCCTTCCCTCTGCAGTCCTCACCCTAGCCTTACCCGCCAGTCTGGAACCCCTACATTCCTTACTTTGGGAAATCCCTCCACAGAGCCTACCCACAATCCATAATCAATACCATTTGTTATAGAACTTCCTTTAACATTGACTTGAAATCACAGTGAATTTCACTTCAATACAAAGAAATAAATTACAAAGAAAAAAACTAAGAAAAAGACACTTGTGCTCAAAACAGGCCAAGAGCAAAATGAAGAGATGGCCACGTATTAGAGTGCAGTCTTTGCCTGGCATGTGCAAGAGTCAGGACTCTGCCCTGAGAACTTTTCTCTAGGCAGGATCTCATGTAGCCCAGGCTGACCTCAGATTCACTATGTAGCTGAGGATGACCTTGAATTCCTGGTCCTCCTGCACTTCCTGCCCCCGCCACCACTGGCCCACTGACTAACCTTGACATTGTCGTCTTTGCACACTTGCTTGCCTCAGCTCTAAACCCTGCCGTCTGCCCCTGCCACCCTTCAGCTTCATGTCCACACTGCACCTTGCTTGACTTACCCATGTTAGGGTTCTGTCCTGCTGGCCTAGTGGCCCCCAGAGCTAGGAGGCTTGCCTGACTGTTCTTCATGCTGCCAGCACCCTGCAAAGAGCTGGCACCTTCAGAGGTGTGGGAAGCCATGTCTGTAGAGAAGGAGTGAGCCAAGAATGAATGAATGAGTGAAAGAGACAGAGAGAGAGGGGGGGGGGAGGGAGGGAGGCAGGGAGGAAAAAAGGAAGGAAGAAACAATGAAAGGAAGGAAGGGACAGACAGACAGACAGACAGACAGACAGACTTTAGCTCTTGGGTACTAATTGGTGACCTGACTCGTGATCAACATGGGTACTGAGTCACAGTGACCCTGAGGTGAGCTGGGTGTCTGTGTATCCCTGCCTTTATCTGTCCCCTCCTGCCAACTCTGCACCCTCCTCCTGGGCAGCTTCTGTCTCTTGGCCACTTCCTCTCTAGCACCTTCTGCCCAGCACCCACAGTCCCCTCTTCCTCCTCCTTGCCAATGGGCCAGCCTTACTGGAGGCTCTGGTGATCCTTGTTGGTATGGTCGTTGTTTTATGCAAGAGTAATGTTTACGCCTTAAAGCCACCCATTATCAGTGCACAATTCAATAATGTCAGTAAACTGACAGTTCTTCCAACCCTCTTGCAGCCCTCCCTGGGCTCACCTGCAACCCTGGCAACCACTAATCCGATTTCTGTCTCCGGATTTGCCTGTTCTGGGTGCTTCCTGTCAGTGAGATCACACACTATGTGACTTGTTGTGTCTTTCTCTGAGCACTGTGGGTTTGGGGGTGCAGGGAGGGTTGTTCTGCTTTGGTTTTGGAGACAAAGTCTTGTTACGTAGCCCAGGCTGTCTTTGGACTTGAGATCTTGTCTCTGCACCCAGAGTGGAAATCACTGGCATGCTCCATACCTCCTGGGCAGTATGTTTTGAGGTCGTTGTGCAGGGCAGGGTCAATAACCCAGTCCTCCCTCTGGCTTCCTGAAGACACCTGTGACGGCTCATCTTGGATAGCAACTTGACACACCTGGGAAGAGGAAACCCCAAGGGAGGAATTGCCGCCATCAGATTGGACTGTGGGCTCATCTGTAGGACATTTTCTTGATGATATGGGAGGGCTCAACCTGCTATGGGTGGTACCATCCCTAGGCTGATGGTCCTGGGTGGTATAAAATGCAGGCTGAGCAAGCCATGGAGAACAAGCCAGTAAGCAGCACTGGCATCAGTTTCTGCCTCGCGTTCCTACCCTGGCTTCCCTCAGTGATGGGCTGTAGACGGAAAATGGTGTTTTACAGTCCAAGTTGCTCTGGTCTATGTTTTCTCACAGCAATAGGAGCAAACTGGGACAGCACTCCAGAGTTTGGATGGACCATGGCTCCTGTTTCCATTCCAAACTATTGTAAACATATTACCTACCGGAGCACACCTGTGAGAGTCTGAGTGGGCGTTCTCTTTAGTAGATGTGTAGGACTCCCTGATAAGCAAATGTTTGACTCTTGAAGAATCTGCCAAACTGTTTCCCAAGAGAGTGCACCACACACGTAGCAAAGACTTCTACATCCTTACCGTTGTTGTTTTTGTTTTTTTCCTTTTCTGGCCATGTATTTACTGTGGTGTGTGAGCACATGCATGCTGTAACATGAACGTGAAGGTCACAGGACAACTTTGTGGAGTCAGTTTTCTCCTTCCAGCATGTATGTCCTGGGGATTGAACTCAGGTTGTCAGACTTGGAGATAAGTGCCTCTAACCACTGAGCCATCTTTCTAGCCTTTTTGTTTGTTTGTTTGTTTTTAAGATGGAGTTTCTTACATAGCTCAGGCTGGTCTTAAACTACTCTGCTTTGTGTTCCCCCAGCTCCTGAGTTCTGGGGTGACAGGTGGGCCCATCATACCTGTTCTGCTGTTGACTGATGTTAGTACAGTGCCCCACAGGGTGGCTCTGACCCCAGGCATCCTCACTGAGTGTGTGGAAGTCTCCTCTACCTGCTGCCATCTGAATCTATTCCTTGGAGTCCAGTCTCCTAAATCATATATATATATATATTTAATTTCAATTAGAAACAATCATATTTTACATATCAATCCCAGTTCCCTCTCCCTCCCACCCTCCTATACCCACCACCAAACCCCATCCCATCCCCATCCCCATCCCCTCCAGTCTCCTAAATCTGTCGTTGGTTGTTGCTGTTGTTTGGGTTGGGTTTGGGTGCAGGGGATGGAACCCAAGGTCTCCCGTGTGCTGAAGGCACTCTGCCGTCTGATGCTTGTGCTGACTTATGAGGTGCACTCCCCACTGAGTCACCCCCAGTCCCGCTGCCCGTGGGTGTTTGCCTTTTAAAAAGAATCCTGCATATGAGTGTGTCTGTGTATAAATATGCCATATGAACGTGAGTGTAAACAGAGGCCAGAGGTGTCAGATCCCCTGGAAAGAGAGTTACAGTGACCTGATATGGGTGAGAGTAATACTTCCTCCTACTCTTAACCCTTGAGCCATCTCTCCAGGCCCTCTTTGTTATAGAATGGGTGTGTTGAATTCTCTGGGTCCATGGAAGAAGACTCAGGGCACTTAAAGGATGACTTTAGCCTTTCCAGCTGGAGGGAAGGGGGCGGGACATGGGACACTCAACCACGTGAGGACTGAGATGCTTTTTTATTTTCTACAATGTACACCTTTAGCAAGTTGATTTCCATATCCCCCAAACATCCTAAGTTTCCAAAGGGCCAATGCCAAATGCAAATTCTCTATTAAGGAATGTCACAGCATGCTGATTTTTCCCATCCAAGTTTTGCATATGCTTTATACCCTTAAATTCACATATGTTAAACAGAAGGCAATGAAGACATTCCGGAGCCAGCCAGCTGCAGCTGTGTAGGAGTTTTTCCTATACCTCTTTCTTTTTTGTGGGGGTGGGTGGGGTGGGATGGGGCCTGGGAGGGTGATGGTGGTGTGGTTTGGGTTTTTGTTTTGTCTTTTTTCGTTGTTTTTTTCAAGGCAGGGTTAGTCTGTGTAGCCCTGACTCTCCTGGAACTCACTCTGTAGACCGGGTTGGCCTTGAACTCAGAGATCCACCTGCCTCTGCCTCCCAAGTGCTGGGATTAGGTGTGATCCACCATTAACTTGTTTTACAATTCTGAGAATTCTTTATATATTCTGGCACCTTCCCTTTATCAGATAGATGATCTGCAAATACTGAATCCCCAGCCTGTGGCTTTTCTTCTTTTTCTTTATTGAAAAAACATTTTCCCCAGCCAGGTTTAGTGGTGTACGCCTTTAATTCCAGCAGTCAGAAGGCAGAGGTAGGTGGTCTACATAGTGAGTTCCAGGACAGCAAGAGTTGTTACATAGAGAAACCCTGTATCTACAAACAAGACAATAATGACAAACTGTTTAAAACAACAACCCCAAAAAAACAACAAAAAGTTTTTTTTTCCTCATAGCATATATTCTGACCACGATTTTCCCTCCCCCAACTCCCTCCAGGTTCTCCCCACCTCCCCTGAATGCTTTTTTCATTTTTATTATTTTACATTCTGCGTGGGTGCACATACTTGCATGTGGGAATATGCATGTGAATGCAAGTATCTGGGGAGGCTAGGAGACATCTGCTCCCTTGGAGCTGGAGTCACTGACAGTTGTGAGCTGCCTGATCTGGGTATTGGGAACTGAACTCATGTTTTCTGGAAGAGTAGCAGGTACTCATAACTGCTGACCCATCTCTCTAGCCGTGTGTGTGTGTGTGTGTGTGTGTGTGTGTGTGTGTGTACAAGCATGTGCATACAGGCAAGTTAAGGTCAGAGGTTAACTTTGAGTGTCTTCCACTATTACTCTCCATATTATTTTTTGAGACAGGGTCTCTCACTGAACTTAGAGTTCATCAATTGGCTAGACTGGCTGGCCAGGAAGCCCCAGGGGTCCTCTTGTCTCTATTTCACCCTGGGCAGGCACGTGACCCACTGAGCCATCCCCTGACCTTTATGGCATCTTCTAAAGGTTTCATTTTGAGGACCTGGCCATCAATTCTGTGGCTTTCTATCTGTTGAGATCCCGTTTATTTTCTGAGACAAGGTCTCATGTAGCCCAGGCTAGCCTTGAACTCACTGAAGATTGAAGTCTTTTTTCTCCTGCCCCCACCTTCTGAGTGCTAGGATGCGTGCCACCATGCCCTGCTTGACTGTCTCCTTCTGTTCTACATCCAAGGGGCCTGTCTCAGTCAGGGTTACTATTGCTGGGATGAAACTCCATGACCAAAGCAGTTTCGGGAGGAAAGGACTTCTTTGTCTTACACTTCAGTATTGTTGTTCATTATTGAATGAAGTCAGGACAGGAACTCAAACAGGTCAGGATCCTGGAGGCAGGAGCTGATGTTCACCATGGCTTGCTCAAGTTGCATGTATGCCTGTACACCAGAAGAGGGCACCAGATCTCCTTATAGATGGTTGTGAGCCACCGGGTGGTTGCTGAGAATTGAACTCAGGTCTTCTGGAAGAACAGCCAGTGCTCTCAACCTCGGAGCCATCTCTCCAGTCACTTAGCCTGCTTTCTTATAGAACCCATGACTACCAACCCAGGGATAGCACCACCCACCATGGGCTGGGGCCTCCCCCATTGATCACTAATTAAGAAAATGCCCTACAGGCTTGCCAGTATCCAGATCTTTCTTAATTGAGATTCCCTCCTCTCAGATGACTTTAGCTTCTATCAAAGTGACATAAAACTAGCCAGCACAGTGTTCATGGTGTGTGGTACACATCAATACTGTCCATGGGGTGCAGCGAGGGCTCCTGACTCCAGCCATCTCCAGAATGCTCTGACTCTCACTTCTCACTCTCCCTGTGGTCCCTAGCCTGGTGCTTCTCACCACATTGAGACAGAGAGGCTGAGCAACTGGGCATGGTGGATCATGCCTACAATCCCAGCTAAAGCAGACTTTCTCAATTCAGTCTCTGCCTGGCCTACAGAGGGAGACCTTGTGTCAGAGCATGGGGAGGAAGCTGGCAAGATGAGCCAACCATTAAGAGCCCTGGCTGCTTTTCCAGAGAACAGGGATTTGAGTCCCATATCCACATTACAGATCACAGCTGTATCCAACTTCAGTTCTGGAGGGACTAATGCCCTGGCCTTTGTGGGTACCAGGCACACAGTGGTACACAGATATACATGAAGGTAAAACATCTGTATACATAAAATAATTTTTAAAATATATTTAAAGCTGGGCAGTAGTTCTACATGCCCTTAACCCCAGCACTAGGGAGGTAGAAGGAGGCAGATCTCTGAGTTCAAGGCCAGCCTGGTCTACAGAGAGTTCCAGAACAGTCAGAGCTACACAGATTAACCCTATTTCCAAAAAAAAAGAGTCAAATTAATTAATTATATTTAAAAGGGAGGGAGCAAGAAAGTTCATCCTCTAGAGTCACTTGCTGCTGCCAAGCTGATGACCTGAGTTCAATCCCTGGGACCCACATAGAAGAGGAAAGAGGGCTGGGGAGATGGCTCAGTGGTTAAGAGCACTAACTTCTCTTTCAGAGGACCTGGGTTCAATTCCCAGCACCCACATGACAGTTCACAACTGTCTGTAATTCCAGTTCCAGAGAACCTGACACCCATGGCAAAGCATCAATGCATATAAAATTTTTAAAAATTAAAAAAAAACACAAAACAAAAAAGAAGAGGAGAGAACTGACTCCAAGGCAAGGCATGGTGAAACAAACCTTTAATCTTAGCAGAGGCAAAGGCAGGTGGATCTCTATGTGTTTGAGATTGGTCTACATAGTAAATTCCAGGTCATCCAGGGCTAGCTACATAGTGAGACCCTGTCTCAAAAGGGGAAAAAAGTGGACCACAGTGAGTGTTTCCCCAGCAATAATGATGATGATGATGATACATTTATTTTTTAAAAAGGAAAAGCAATTAGCAAATACCTGTAATCGTACCACTTGGATGGCAGAGGCAGGAGGGTCAGGAGTTGAAGGTCAGCCTTAACTATATAGGGAATTTGGAGCCAGCCTGGGATATGTAGGTCACTACTCAGAATAAAAAATTAGGCCTGATCCTTGGGTCTGAGAAAGCCTGAGCAGCCTCCTTCGGTTACATCCAGCTGTGGGACTCAGGGGCTTTAGCCCAGGTCAGTAGGGACCTGGGCTCCTCCACCACTCTCCCCACGGCTGCCCCTGTGGTCCCAGATAGCTATTTCCCTGTGGAGTCACCACTGTCCTCTCTCAGGACCATGCTGCCACTTATGCTCTGGGGTGGAGGTGGTGGGCACACTCCAAGAGTTTCCAGCCCCACTTCCTGCACAGCCCGCTGTGACTTCTCAGGCAGCCCTGCTGGCTTGGCAGCTGACAGGTGGCTTCCTCTGAGGATGAATACCGACACCCCATCCTAGGCCTGGGGACTCTGGGTTTCCTTTGCCCTCCCACTTACGCTTGGCAGAGGGCTGCTGGTGTATGCCAGCCAGGCCCTGTTCTTCATGCTGAGTGTCCAATGGCAGCAGGGCAGCCAGCCCGCCCAGAGCAGGCAGAGTACTGGATGGGGCTCCATGGTGGCAGAGAGCTAAACAGAGAGGAGCAGAGGGATGGAGAGGAACAGCCAGAGGGATGGAGAGGAACAGCCAGAGGGATGGAGAGGAACAGCCAAGAGAGGCAGGAGTGCGCCCACTCCCACTCTTTACCCTTCCTGGGCTGATCACACCCAGAACCTTCTCCGTCTTTTGCTAGTCTGCCTCCTCCACCACGCCAGCTCCAACCCAGCCTGTAGGGCCTCCTGCTGCCTGCTTCTTGCTCTCTTTGGTCCTCGGAGTCTAATGCAAAGCAGGGCAGATAAACCTGACACAGTAAGTACTTGGCTGGTATAGAATGATGTATAGGAAATGGATCCTGAGGCTGATAATCCCTCAGGCAAGAAGGTGGTGGGAAAAGGCCAACTGTCCCTATGCCCACACAGATGGAAGAGGTCCTGGAGCTCCAAGGGGACCAGGCTTCCCAGCTACCCACCCAGGACAGCACCTAGATGCCCAGCCTGGCTACTGCCCTGCCCTAAACCTCCAGTCAATTTGAGATGGCTTCCCTGGCATGACCTGATTGTCAATGTCTCTGCAGTCATTCCCTACTGGAGGGTAAAGTGAACTTCCCTCCAGAGCTCAGGGTCTCTTCCAGACGCTTCTGATTTCCCTATCAGAAAATCAGCCATGCACCTCAGCACAAGGTCTAGCCTGGCTGCCAGATGGACTCTTGAAACTAGATTTCCAGGTCTCTATTGTGACCGACTATCACTGGGTAATGACTCCTTTGCAGCCTTGCTTGACCAAGATTCCAGGCTGGACAAAGTTGGGGACATTTACCACATCCATTTTTCCCTGCTTTTTGTTAAAAAATAAGACTTTTTCTTATAGCCTAGGCTGATCTTGAACTTGCTATGTAGCTGAGAAAGACCTTGATGACCCTCTTGCCTCCACCTCAGGAGTGCTGGAATCACAGTGTGCTGGGTTCTGCTGCTTGCCATGCTAGGCAAGCCCTGCCAGATGAACCACGCCCACGGCCACTCTAGTTCATTTTGAGCTCCCCAGGTGATTCCTGTCAGTTGCTGGCTCAGAAAGCAACTGAGAAATACTCAGTTCATCTAAGAGCTGTCATGCCCTAGAGACAGAGGGAGCTTTGGTGCTCCTAATACAGGGTACAATGCTACTAGCATCCAGTGGTGGAGGTTCTGGGAGCAGCTCAACCTCAGTTCGGGGAGCAGGTAGTGGAGAGAGAATCCATAGCCTAGAGGGCTCAGACCCAGGTTCTCAGAGGCCATGTGGAGGAGGCCCCATCTCAATATGAGCAGGTGACAGGAGCATCACCCTGTCTCCTCTCTGTCCAGTCCCCCAACACACACACACACACACACACACACACACACACACACACTCCCGAATGACTGGTGTTCCCTCCCTAAGGACAATGCAGATGTTCAGTCCAGAAGTGCTGTTTGCTGGGTGGCCTGTGCCTTTCCTAAGCCAAGGTTCCCACATTGAGGATAAGTGAGAATAACCATCTACCCTGGAGGGGTGCCACAGGCGCATGGTGATATCAAGGCCCCTTGCCTTACTGGCACTGGGTCAGTACTAATAGGAAAGAACAAACCCAAATTCTGGGGAAATCTGAAGCTGGGAGACAGGCTGATCTTCACCAGGACCAGCATTTGGTCAGCCCAGGTCCTTTACCATCCAGAACAGGAACTCAAGGACTCTTGCTGCTATCCCCAGGGGCTTCCATATGTCCTTTGTCACCATGAGAGGAGCTAGTTTGGAGTAACCCTTGCCCCATTGCTCTATGCCCAATTTGGACATAGAGCAGCTGGCAGCTCAGGAAGTAGCCTGTTGGGATTCATGGGAGGTGGTGTACAGTTAGGGGACATGACCTTGACTCTTGGGAGGTACCAGGGATCCCCTAAGAAAGTCAGGAATGAGGGAGGCCAGTGTTCATCATATATGTGCACACGTGTGAAAACGTCCCCTCCCTGCCCCAGGTGAAGGAACAGGGCTGGGGGAACTGATGTCAGACTCTGTGCTGTGAAACCGGGGACAAGAGCAGACGCCCTGCTGCAGCTGCTAAGAGCTTCCGCTCACCCTGGTTCATGCCTGCAGATAGGCATGGCAGGCAGCACAGTGCTTGCACAGGAATGCCCACGGCACACCAAGACCTCCCTGGGCATTCAACCTGGGGCAGCTCCCACCTTGTCTGAGGAAGGTGGGCGTGGCTGTCCTGCCCACCTGCCCACTTCTGTTGGAATGCTGACGACTACAGATCCATTTCGTATCACTTTGGCCTGTAACTTCACTACAGTTTTTAGTGACGGTTTAGAGAAGGAACATGAGTTTCTGTGTATGCCACTCTTTTGCCCTGGACCCCTTGTAATCACTTGGAAGATAGCACAGGGTGTGGAGAGCTGGAGCTTGAAGAGTGGGCATGTAACTACAAGCTTGTGACAAAGAACTGAGCTAGACAGGTGAGTGGGATTTCAAGGAGCCCCCCCACTCCTGGAGAAAGCTATTAAGACACAGGCCTGAAAGCCACACCTGGGCTTGAAGAGTGTGGGCGTGTGACTCGGTGGTGAATGTGTGCTGGGCTTGTGGAGGAGGAGGAGTGGGGAAGCCATGTCATATTTCTGGCACTGAAAACATAAACACAAAGAAGGCTGGGCACTGGCCCATGTTCCAGCACTTGGAAGATACAGGCCAGAGGATCAGGGGTTCAAGGGCACCTTGGGTGGGCTACAAGAGAACCTATCTCAAACAATACAAAAGAAACCATGATGCTAGGGGTAGGGAGTGGAAAGGCAGCAGCCCAAGTCCTTAGTCTGCACCCTCAGGTCCTCTGGCAGCTGTGGCAGAAGGAGGCACGTGGCCAGTCAAAATGCCAGAACCCAGCAGCAGGGAAGCCCGCGGGTCACAATGTCACCTGAACCTCCCAACCGCAGCGACGAACCGGGGGCGTAACTTCTACGTCTCTGCAGGATAGGCGGAGCCGGGCGCCCCTTTCTCTCCACAGCATCACGGACGTCCGCCGGTGCTCAAACTTTCCCGGGTGCAGGGAGCGCGGCTGGGGTGGGGGAGGCAGGCCGGGAGGCTCAGCGGCCGGGCCGGGGTTGTGACTGCGCCCAGGGCAGGCTGCTGGGCGGAGCGGCCAGGGCGGCACCGCCCTCCAGGTGCCGGGCGGGGGCCGAGGCAAGCGCCGCCGCGGGGAGAGCAGGCCGGGCCATGACCCCCGCGGCCCGCGACTGCAGGCGCGTCGCCTGGTGTCCCGCACGGCCACCAGCGTCCGCGCCCAGCGTGCCCCAGAAAGCGGTGAGTGCGCGCGCGCTATGCGCGCCACGGCGGACGCATCCGGACCTGGGAGGGACGTGGAGGGACCCAAGACAGGAGACCCCAGAGCCATGGAGACCAGGGACTGTGGGGATTCGGGGTGGGTGGGAATCCGGAATGGTGGAGACCGGGGTTGGAGCACCCCGGAGGATAGGTACCCCAGGATGGGGTGGAGACGCCGGAGGGGCTGTGGAGACCCCAAGATGGTGGAGACTTCAGAGTGATGGGGGGTGGGGCCTTTTGGTCCCAAGGCGTCCCACAACTTCCTGCAGACTTCGCTGCCCAGCTCGGTTCCTTTTGGTCGCGTGCCTGGCATTGGGCGGGGGCGTGTCCCGCGCGTGGCAGCCTCAGGCCCCTCTATACCCGGCTTGGCTGTCAAATCGCCGAGCAGTCAGGCGGGGTGGGGGCAGGAGGCCTCGGGAGGAACCGCTTCCCTCCACCAAGTGTTTCGAATGTATTATTGATGAGCTGCCTCGCTTAGGGGCGCCCAGTACATCAAAGCAGCTTGGCGACCGCAAAGGGTGGCACGCGCAAAGCAGGCACTTCTCCTGGCAGGGCTGCCCGGGGCAGATCTGGGGAGGGCGCTTAAAAGAGAATCCGCAGCTCTCCTGGGGGACTGTGAGGGCAGGAGGGACTTCTGGCCTTTGCCAAGAGAACAGTGTAGCAGCAATGTATAGAAATGTTAGAATACACCCTGTTTTACAGATAGGGAAACTGAGTCCCAGGTGCCTTCTCCTGAGTGGCAGACTCTGCTGTCTCTCTCCACCCTGAGACACTTCCTGGCCCTGTCTTGGGTTGTGCCACCAGCTAAGAGCACCCCTTACCTGTCCAGACCCCTTTCCTACACAGTCCACAATGTAGACTGGTCCTGGGTAGACCATACCCACCTCCAGCCCTGCCCTGCTCCCCCTCCCCCGGGTCCAGGTCCTCTGCACAGGAGAGAGGCCGTGTATTTATGGAAAGTCTTAATCCCTCCACCAGCCCCAAGGCCGTGGAAATCTGTGTCTAATCTGTCCCTGGAAGGCCTCAGCTGGTGGGCACACATCAGGCAGGAGTGTGCTTCGCCTAGGGAGGTGTAGGTCACTCGGGAGACTTAAAAAGCAACTCGTCCTCAGGAGGACGCTGAGATGTTAGTGCTTAGCCAGCAGCTGGCCTGTGCCAGACCTGGGCCGGCTGTCTTCACACTCACCAACCCTCTAACCCAAACCTCCTCTCATCCCCATTTTAAAGGCAGGAAACTGAGGCAGAGAGGTAGATAAGGCCAAGTGTTAGCCCAGAGGCAGCAGAGAATGGCTCTCATCTTGGAGCGGGAAAGCTAAGCAAGGCCTGTAGAATCATGGGAAAGGACCCCACCATAGAGAATGATAGAGGATAGTGCACTCAAAAGAAACCCATCGTTCTCCCAGGCCCAACACAGCCTTGGTTTCCTGACAGTAGCCACCAAGGTCACAGGACCCATTTCTCCTGTGCCCCTGTGTTCAATCTTTCAGAAAAAAAAGATTTAAAACAATTTTTCTGTGTGTATGAATGTTTTGCTTGCATGTATGACTGCCCCAACATGCCTGGTGCCCTTGGAAGGCACTGGACCCTGTGGGGCTGGGAGTTAAAGATGGCTGTGAGCTACCATGGGATGCTGGGAACAGAATCCAAGTCCTCCACAAGAGCAATAAGTGCTCCTAACCACTGAGCCATCTTACCCTCGCCGCACCCCACCCTCCCTGTTCAGCCTTGACTGCTACAGAGAACACGAGGACATCCCCTTGCACTGTAAGCTTTGCTTAGCAGATGTTTTTAATGGTGAGAAGAGAATGGGGCATGAGTGCCACTAAGTGGCCCAGAGCAGGCAGCAGGCTGGGGGAAAGTCGGGGCTAGCCCTGGGTGGGGTTTTGGTGGCTGTTGGCCTCTTTAGATTCCCTGAGACTTTCAGGTTGGCAGTCTGGCCTGGGCCAGCATCTGTTCTCAGCATGGTGCCTGGGCTGGAATTGAAAGAATTCTAATCCTGTCACACAAATAAAGTGACTTTCCTAAGCAAGGAAGAAACCCAGATGTGGGTGTGCCCAGCATGCTTGAAGCAGGAAGCTGCTCTGTGTGGGAGCTTGGGAAACAGCTAAGGAACCAGTTTGCCCTGTGGAGTCTCTTCCAGCCTCTCAGATCCACGCACAAATAGTCGGACTGCTCCTGCCCAGCCTGGTCCTTAAAGGAGGACTTTGCTAAGGAGGTGGGGCACCGTGCCACTGTGACTCAGGCTCTCTTAGCATGCAGGAGGTGACTGGGCAGAGAGCATGCCCAGAGGGGCTCCCAGCCCAACAGCCTACTTAGTATTCATTCATACCCCCATGATGGCTGATGTTGGAATCAGCACTATGGCTAAAGTAGCCAGGGTTCCAAAGGAGAAAGTAAAGGGCCCAGCTCAGGCCAGTTGAAGGACCACACTGAATCAGACAGGACTCAGGCATCCTACCTTCAGCCTGGAGCCTGTCACTCCATCCCTCAGCAGCTCTAGGTTTGTGTGGCCCTAGACACAGGCCTGTCTTCTATGAGCAGACGCACACCACAGTGACTTCTTTTTTCTGTGTTGCAAACCTGTGAGAGCCAGATGGCGACGTCACTCCTGATGGACATTGGTCCACTGCAGACCTCATTCTCACTTTGTGTCTCTTCCCCCACCTCCTACTTGTATCTATCAACTGCTTGAGTCCTAAGGAAGGAGTTGCAGGAAGGTCAGGAGAACATGGGTGTGAACTGTCCTAATTCTCCTCTGACTGGGGACACTGCCTGTTATACTTCAATCCATTCCAAGAATCTATATTGAGAGGACAGGGGGCTGGGCTGTGGTTCAGTGGTACAGTAGGCATGCCTGCTATGCACAAGGTCCTGGGTTCGATCCCTAGCACCACAATGAGTGAAGTAGACAATGTGGTCACTAAGAAGCCTTGACAAGTCAACAGAGCACATGTTATAATAGAAGGCTTACCGCTGTGGTGGGGTTTCATCTGCTCCACCGCCTGTGGCTTCTCCATCCCTGAGGCCAACCACTGTCCTGTGGCCCCTGAAGGAGAGACCAGAGTGTTGCTTCCACACCCTCGATCCTGACCAACCTCACCTGAACTTTCCTGGACAGCAGCCCTCAGCCCAGATGTTGTCAGCAGGCACTGTGACCTCACAGCTGGCTTGGTCCACGACTGCTTCCTGTTGTGTGCCCAGCTGGCCAAGTACAGGCCTGGCCACATGTGCCAGGACAATGTCATCCCCCGCCCCTCTCTGAGTGCTCTCCTTTTTTCACAGGCCTGCAGAGGTGACGCCATGGGCCTGAAGCCCTCCTGTATGAAAGGTAAGGTAGAGTGTGGGGTGCTGGGGCCAAGGGGCCTGGGGGAGCAGAGAGGGGGAAGATGGGATGGAGATATGGGGGACCCGGAAGCCTGGGGTACTGGTCTAGACTGATAGGACCCCATCTGTAAAGGCAGTCAGTATACACAATAGGTAGTCTGTAAATGCTTGCTTTGCCTCTGCGACCTCCTCCAGGACTTCCTTCACCAGAGGCTGGTACCCTAAGGCTTCAACTTCCTTCTCAGAGGGGAAGTCCCAGAAAAAGAGAGTACCTGGGAAGGGGGAAGCCTGAGCAAGAAGCCAGGCATAAATTGCTTCCCAGGACACCCTGGATGCTTGCCATCAACCAAGCAAGAGGTCAGTGTGGCTAGTACCAGGAGAGAAAAAAAGGCCATCAGAAAGTTTTGAAGGATGCCAAATCAGCCAGGCGGTGGTGGCGCACGCCTTTAATCACAGCACTCAGGAGGCAGAGGCAGGCGGATCTCTGTGAATTTGAGGCCGGGCTGGTCCGACAGCCTCCAAAACAATACAGAGAAACCCTGTCTCGTAAAACCAAAAAAAAAAAAAAAAAAAAAAAGAAGGATGCTGAATCTGTGAGAGGTATTAGTGGAGGCAGCATAGACCTCTACTCTGATATCCAGAGGGAACCTGAGGTATTATGGCCCCATGGGAGACACCCGAAGCCTTCTGATGTTGTCCTGCCCTGGACAACCCTGCAAGGTACCATAGGCCCATCCCCAACTGCTTGTTGGCATCTAGTTTGCTATGATTCCATTCCATCTGTCCCCACAGTTCTCCCTGGCCATGTCCCGGTGTGCTCTCTCTCTCTCTCTCTCTCTCTCTCTCTCTCTCTCTCTCTCTCTCTCTCTCTCTCTCTCTCTCTCTCTCTCTCTCCTCTGTGTGTGTGTGTGTGTTGTTCTCTCTCTCCCCCTCCCTTTCTTTTTTCCTTCCTTCCTTCCTTCCTTTCTTTTCTGGGTTTTTTTTTTTTTTTGAGACAGGGTTTCTCTGTGTAACAGTCCTGGATGTTCTGGAACTCACTTTGTAGACCAGGCTGGCCTCAAACTCACAGAGATCTGCCTGCCTCTGTCTCCTGAGTGCTGGGATCAAAGGCATGTGCCACCACTGCCTGGCCCAGTATACTTTCTTTCTTTTTAATTTTTTTTTTATGTTTCAAGACAGGGTTTCTCTATGCATCTTTTAGAGGCTGTCCTAGCACTCGCTCTGCAGACCAGGCTGACCTGCAATTCACGTAGATCCATCTGCCTGCCTCTGCCTCCCAAGTACTGGAACTAAAGGTGTATACCACCACCACTGGAATGTTTTCTTCCTGTGTGTTTCCTTGATGGCCACTGCCAAACACATACTCACTACCCCACGTGCTGAGCCACTGGTTCTCCTCAATGCCTACCCCAGGGTCTCCTCCTCAGCCTGCTCAGAGGCCTGTGTTCCCCAACCTGCTCAAAGCTCTGGAGACCTGAACATTGGCCTTGGTTTCCTTGTTCATAAAGTGGGGTCACAACATGGCTGTGGGGTGTTCATGAGTGACAGGCTCCCGGCACTCAGGCTGCCACTGGGGTGCAGCTCTTGTAATTATTTCATCTAACCCCTCTGTTCCTCGGGCTTTCCAGCCCCTATTCTGAGGTCTTAGGAGACTTGAGGTCTCTGGGTATGAGCTAGGGCACTGATTGCAGTTAATATGAACAAGATGAACTTCTAGGAAGACAGAACCCTCCCCCAGGAGAAATGAAAAGGGTAGGAAAGAGTGGATGGATGTCTCCTGAGCTTCCTCTCACTTTGTGTGGGGGAAGGGGGGCAAATATAGAACAGCATCTGATTGGCCCAACTGAGGGCTTGTGCCTTGGGAGGATGGGGCATCTTGACTGACAGCTCCAGCAGGACTGCTAGCAAGGTGCTTTGCTGCTTGCAAGGTGGCCAGGATGTTAGAGGAGCAGAGTCAGCTTTCACTGCACTCTAGGGCTGGCTCTCTCTAAGACCCCAGGCTCACAGAATCTGGTGAATGAGTGCTCGCGTGGGGAAGTGGCTGAAGGTGGGGCAGCTAGTGGCAGGTGGTTAATGCCTGCGTGGGTCCTTCACTGTGGCCGTGGGGACTTAGCCTCACCGTGGCTATGTCTTCCTAGTGCCCCACACAAAGCATCTCTGTGATGTCACTTTTCTGTAACCATGTAGAATAGACATAAGGTTTAACTGATGACCAGTGAGTGTACAGTTTAGGGGTATGGAATGCCTTGACACTGTGTGACTGGTGCCCCTGACATCCTATAGTTACTTCTCTAGAGTGTCAACAACTCTAATGCCTTATGTATGTGAACCCCAAGGTTCTTAGAGACTCTAGTGCTCATATACATGGTGTGGTCAGACTTTTCTTAGGGCTACCAGCTCACAAATAACAATATGGAGACTTAATATTAATTATAAAAGTTTGGCCTTAGCTTAGGCTTGTTCCCAACAAGCTCTTTTTTTGTGCTTTGTTTTTTTTTTTTTTTGAGACAGGATTTTTCTGTAGGTTTGGCATCTGTCCTGGAACTTGCTCTGTAGACCAGGCTGGCCTTGAACTCAGAGAGATCTACCTGCCTCTGCCTCCCAAGTGCTGGGATTAAAGATGTGTACCACTACCTCCCAGCTCAAACTAGCTCTTATAACTTAACCTATTTTTATTAATCTTTGTTCTGCCACAAGGCTTGGTTATCTCTCTGTCTGACTTCTTCAATGTCTTTCTGGTATCTCTTGCATACCTAGATTCATCTCAAGTTCCTCTCCCTCCCCTGAAGTCGTGCCTATTCTCTCCTGCCTAGCTATTGGCCATTCAGCTCTTTATTAAACCAATCACAGTGACACATCTTCACACAGTGTAAACAAATATTCTGCAACAGCATGGACCAGTTTTTTTCCTGGTTTTGTTCACTGAGCATTGCATTTTCTAGACTCAGTGTGCTGTGGCATGGGTCTGTATGTAATGGGACTGGATGTTTCACTGTGTGGATTATCAGTCAGCTTTGCATTACTGCCACAAAATACCTGAGATAAACAATGTACAAAGACAAAAGATTTATTGTGATTCATGGGTTCAGAGTATTTTATGGTTACTTTGGGCTTATGGGTAGGGACTAGAAATGTTGAGAATGAGGTGCTGTGGCTGGAGAGATAGCTCTGTGGTTAAGAGCACTGGCTGTCTTTCCAGAGGTCTTGAGTTCAATTTCCAGCACCTACATGACAGCTCACAACTGTCTGTAATTCCAGTTCCAGGGTACCCAACACTCTCATACATACATGCAGGCAAAACACCAATGCACATAGGTTAAAAAAGAGAAGAAAGGGAAGGGACAAAGGAAGGAAGAGAATGTGATGACGATCTATGACAGCTGGGAAGTTGGGAAGGGTTGGGGCAAAGGCCACGGTCCTAGTATACATCTCCAGAGCTTGTCCTCAATGACCAAATTCCCACTGGACTTGCTTTTTCAACTATTCCCAAGCTTTGGGGACCAGGACTATGTAAGATCCAACTAGACAGTGTACCTGTAATCCCACCATTCATTGAGGCTTAGGCAGGAGGATTTCCGCAAGTTTGAAGCCAACCTAGGCAACATACTGAGTCTCAGGTCAGTCTGAGCTACACTGTCACCCTATGTCAATAAAAAAGCAGTAAACCCAGTATCCAGCATGTTTTCTTTTTCTCCCACCCTTCAGTGGGTCTTGTCTATATCAGGATGTCTGTGATGGTTCAGCCAAGCACCTAGACTAATTCCCTAACAGGACACACCTCTGTTCTGCCCCACCACAAGCCTAAAAGCCACACTGTGTGCCAAGGGCCTCACCTCATGCAGTTTTCCTTACATGCTTTGGCTGTGTTGGACTTTGGCCTGCCTCCAGCTACCCAGCCTTGGTCCCTACAGGTAATGAAGCTAAGACTGACCCACCAGCCCAGACCTTCCTCACAATAGAGCCTGGTTTCACACACACACACACACACACACACACACACACACACACACACGCTCAAAGAATGATGTTGTCCGTACAGGCCTGGTCATGGCTTAGTTTCCTATGTAGCCTGCTCCAGTGCATCCTCAGGTTTGGTTCTGTGTGGTGCTGTGTGATGTCTGATTTGTTTCCTTGAGACACTGTCACATATCCCAGGCTAGCCTCAAGCTCTATGTAGCCAAAGATGACTTTGAATTCTACACTGTTGCTTTTATATGTAAGCCATAATTTGGAATGATGGCGGTGATGATGATGATTTGTTTGGAATAAATCCCAGGAGTCAGAATGGTCTAAGGACAATAAATGGCTGTTTTAATTGGGGGCTTAGCTTGGGAAAAGCTCTTTATTGTGAATTCTATATGGACTAAGTCACTTGTCTCCAAGGAAAGGAGGCTGAAGACATAGCTTCGTCCCAGGCATTATTTGAATTCTTCCAGAAAATTTGCTCTAGCCACTCCATCACCTGCCTCCATTCCCACACAGTTTTCTATCAACCTTCTCCATCCCCACACAGTCTTCCTCTACCTTCTCCATCTCACACAGTCCTCTACCTTCTCCATCTCACAGTCTTCCTCTATCTTCTCCATCTCACACAGTCTTCTACCTTCTCCATCTCACACAGTCTTCTATCTTCTCCATCTCACACAGTCTTCTATCTTCTCCATCTCACACAGTCTTCTACCTTCTCCATCTCACAGTCTTCCTCTATCTTCTCCATCTCACACAGTCTTCCTCTATCTTCTCCATCTCACACAGTCTTCCTCTATCTTCTCCATCTCACACAGTCCTCTATCTTCTCCATCTCACACAGTCCTCTATCTTCTCCATCTCACACAGTCTCTCTATCTTCTCCATCTCACACAGTCTTCTATCTTCTCCATCTCACACAGTCTTCTATCTTCTCCATCTCACACAGTCTTCCTCTATCTTCTCCATCTCACACAGTCTTCTACCTTCTCCATCTCACACAGTCTTCTACCTTCTCCATCTCACAGTCTTCCTCTA